AGGCCTGATAGAGAGTGACTGGCCCAAAGTTATCCACCTGGGTTCTTAGCCTAAGACAGAATTAATAGGCCTCCCCATTTCCAGTTCTATGCCTTAATCACTAAATCAAATTGTGTTTCACTATTAAATTAGCCATTTTATTGATATTAGTTGTTAGCTACCCAGAGTTGCTAACATTTTGAGATGGGCAGCCATATATATCTCTAGAAATAAATAAATGCCATAACATTTAAAACAGAGGTCTCCAGCCTTTCCGGCCTCGCGGCCTGGAGGGAAGAAGAACAGTTTCCAAATTTGCATGTGCAAACGGGCCGCACACACAAGCCTGGAGCTAGCGGCCTGTTTGCGTCCACGCACATGCACAAATGGTGCTAGTGCGAGTGGGGGAGTGCACCCGCATGCGTGCATGCACTGGCCAGCCATTTCTGTCGCCCGCTAGCCAAGAGCTACGGCCCGGTAGTGAGCCACAGCCCATAGGTTGAGGACCCCTGATCTAAAACACTTAGAAGTGTATCATTGTTCACATGCTAGTGAAATGTGCTTCTTAACAACTTGTACTAAGCCATCACTATCTTCTAATAAGAAAGGGTCGAGCATTTCCTCTTTGGCAGCTCTATCTGAATTAGATAATTGATTTCAGATGTTTTTATCGGAGTTTGTTCCTTTTTTTTCTTAGCTGCCATAGGAGAAAAACAAGATATAAATTAAACAAATAATAATTAAAGTTGAGCTTTTATACCCTGTGAAACAGTATTGTGCTAGAACCTGTTTATAAACATTGCAACTATATGCTTTGCTTGATAAGGTCTGAATTAGGGCTACTGAAGGATGAGAAGCAGAATGTTTAAAGTAACCTTAGGACAACAAGTTCTTATTTACTTAAGAGATGTAGCCCTACTCTAATCCATAATATGCTTTCTAGGGCTTTAGATATTAGCACCTTCAACTTACATTGGAAATATCTTTATTCCTTTTGTCATATTTATTTAGTTTCTATCCTTCCATTCAAGAATGATCCTTAGCTAACAATAAAAAAAACAAAAATCATGTTTGAACAATTATAGAAATAAAATAAAATAAAGATAAGTCTAAATTGTATCTGAATAATGTTTTGGAGAGGAGAGTAGGAACAAGTCACAGTTCCAAAATGTATGTACAGAAATTCAGCACTAGCCCAATGAAAAGAAGTAGAGTCTTAGGGTTATATTTTATTATATCCACTCTTCTGAGAAATTAAGTAAGTTATATTTAAAGGTAATATATAGTATTCTTTACAAGCTATAAAAGCTTCCTTTATCTTTTTCTTTTGTGCTGTTTTAAAGGTATTTATCTCCAAAGTCTTGTGGTTTCTTTTCTCCAAAGTTGCTATTTGGAAAATTAAAAGAAGAAAACATTGATTCTCTTTCTGAGGTAGGCATATGTATTAGCATTTCTATATAATACTAATACTATAACTAAACTATAACTATACAATACAATAGAATACAATAATACAATACAATACACAAAGTGCATGATGGATATTTTGACCTTTGTTTTTTTCCAGGAATGCATTAGAGCTGAAACTCGCTTTACGTTGGAAGATGAAGAAATAAGAAATGATATAACCATACTATCTTCAGAGACAACTGGAGAAGGAAAAATGATTAAAGATTCCCCTTTAGAATCAACGGGTTCCCATTTAAATATATGTACTACATCTCAGTTCAACGGTCATGTCCCTGAATTGTCATCTTTTTCCATGAGTCACTTAAATGAACCAATAGAGGAACATATTACCAATAGAGAAGATCATGAGACTGATTTTTTCTCAATGAGTAGTAGCAATAACAATGACTTTGGAAATAAAAAATTTACAGAAAGTACATGCTTGCTGAAACTTCAGACAAATGACAGCACTGAAGAAATCCTTATTTCTTTGACATCTAGCAACCAACAGGACAGCAAAGATACAACCTGTGAGGAAACAAAGATGATGGGAAACTATTCAATTGAAAATAAAAACCAGAGTTGCTCATTGATCATTAAAGAGATTCCAAAGAGAAAATCTCAATCTCTTACTGAATGGACAGTGGATTCATCTTTGAACGACAAAAGAAGAAGAACTTTTGTACAAACTGAAGAGAAAGAGATGAATGATATGCAAAAGCAAATATATTTAGAGGAGCAGCTTTATAAACGATATAAACAGGAAGAAGAAGATAGGTGTCTGGCTTTGAAAATTCAGAAGGAAATGGACAGAGAAGAGAAAACACTAAATCGCAAAAAAGGCTCTCCTGATGAGTATCATTTGCGCCCTACAACATCTAAGACAGTTGGAAAATCCCCAGCTGTTAGGAAACACTGCAGTCGCTTAAAGGCTTCAAACAGCAAGACAGAAATAAATCAACCGAAACCACACAGTGAGAATGAGAGGCTCTCTAGCAAACACCAGACAAAAACATCTGTAAAAAATGGGAATGTTCAGAATTGTGTCCTCAACTCTGATTTAAAGGATGTAGAATTGCTGCCAATCAAACAAAGGACGATTATCCAGATGTTCAAGAAATCTGCAACAAATTGAAACATTCACCAAAACCATTATAGATTAATAGAAAATTTTGGAAAACCTGCAAATATTTATCTCTTCTGGTATTGGCTGTTCCCAGAATTAATGTGTTATTTATTTCAGAAACAGTAACACCTGTTCTGTGCCTTTTCCTTTGAATTCTTGTGTCTGTTCTTTAATACATAGATGGTATCAATTTCAATGTTAAAAGAAAAATTTTAAAACCATCACATAATATTGTTTCTCACTATTAACAGTATGTGATCAGAACAGCCACCATTTTTCTCCTGATTGCCTTTCCCTAAAATAAGTAAATAAAAAATAAAAATTATTTCAAGTTGAACTGAACGATAATACTTGCTGAGTTGTCATAACCATGCCTGTGTTGTTGTCTGTGAACTTCTCTTTGAACTTACAAGGCAGTGGTAAATGCCATCTTTAAGACAGGCATAGCCTAAGATACACTCTCATTTTTCTGTTTGCTGGAATTGTTATTTTTGCTTTGCTAGTAATGTGGCTTACAGAGTTCACCAGAAAATCAAATCAATTTTCAGTGGATTCATTTTGGAATTTTAAATTTGATAATTGTAAAAGTATCTTATAAGAGGCACCTAAGACAGTCAATAGGTAAATCACATTTTTCATTTATAAGTAATTTCTAATGCATAGTTTATATATAATGTCATTAAACTTACGTAATTACTATTTCATTACAATTATTTAAGATGTTGTAACTCATAATTATCTCCTAAACATAGTTCTAATAAATATCCAACAGTGTTCCCATTCTGATAAGGGAGGAATTTAGGATTTGATGATTACAGCCTATATATGTTTTTTTTTAATTGCTTTCCATGTTCTTGAAAACTTTGATATCTCAGCATTCAAAACACTTGGTAATAGCAAAAAATGATGCAGGCTGAAGTACTGATGTTTACTGTTGCAATCAATTGTGCCTTCCTTTAGAGATCTCCATCCCATTTGTTTTTTGTTCAGCTTTATAAAAATAGTAATTTTTGTTGTAGCTGGATTCAACAAATCATTCAGAAAATGATATATAATCTAAAGGATTTACGTAAAAGTGACAGTACAATAAGTAAATAAAGTATTATTTTTCAAATATTACATGTAGTATTATCTATCCTTTTGGGTTTTCATTTTTTAAATTGTTCTCTATTGCCATTATTGCATTCTGAAGAAAAAAATGGATTGTTCTTAGGTGCTTGGGTTGATTTTCAAGCAAATGGTCAATTTGTCTGAAATTTCTGAATCATCTTTTTAAAACAAACTGTATTTGAAACACTTGCGTAGATCATGGCTTGTGCCTGTGTACTTTTAATTTTTAGAATGCATATAGTTATGATAAAAGCCAGAGTCTAAATTTATCTATAATGCTCTCAGCATGAAATCACATTTTTACTCAGAAGGAACTGATATTTTTGAAAAACGTGAAGTCACAGTTGTTATCAAAATGTACTGCCAATGATAATTTCAGGATGTGGAGACGATCATTTTACAAGGCAAAAGGAGCTTCCAGAGATTTTTACAGTATGGAAATTTATAAGTCAAAATACATGAATCTTAAACAGTCTAGAAGATGTAATCGATGGAGTATATGTCAAGTATTTAATCTGAAGTGGTTAAGTGCTTTGGTTCTCTCCCATAGATTGGAGGAGTTAAATGCTCTCAGGCAGCTCATTCATTGGCCAGAAACTTTTAAACTAACAGTAGAAGTTCTTATTTCCTCCTGCTTTTGTAGCAGTTCTTGGTCCATTTGTTTCAAATACAGTTATCGTTTTCCTGTGTTGCTCAGGATAGGCAGCCCTGATGATATTCTCCCTTTTTAAAGTTCTGTTTTCCACATTAGTAGAATTCCATGTAGCTTCGCTTGAGTAAGTTCTCGTATTTGTGCTCGCCATCAAACCGGATGACGCAGTTGGGAGGACCCAGACGCCAACTTAGGTTTAGGGTTATTACATTTTTAGCGACTGCCCCATAATATAAAGCAGAATTCCCTTTGGTATAAAGGGAAGAACTTCGCAAAATTTTTGAGAACTGGCTTGAAAGAAGTCAAGCGCTAGAAAAATCCTCCGACCACTAGAGGACAGCAATTGAGATCTCCGATACCATTTCGAGAAGGACTTTTCCTTCTTTACGTCATGCTCTTCATTACGCTACATATTAAAATTGAAAGCGCGCAAGAGAATTGGGGCGCGGTAAAGCTGCGCCTGCGCAGTAGGACGAGCAGGTGGTGAGTGTTGTTCGGTGATCGAGGCGGCAAGATGGCGGCGCCCGGGGGCTCTGCTGCCGCCTCAGTGTTGAAAGGGTTAATTCAGCAATTTACCGCCATCACGGGTGAGGCGTGCGAAAACATGGAATAGATTTAAGTGGCTTCAGTCCGGTGCAGCTAAATGGGGGAAGGGGCAGGTGGCGCGGGCTCGGAAACAGTCTCTTCAAGGGAGTTTGCGGGAGATAAAGGGGAAGGGGCCCTGGTAGGCCGATGCAGGGATGGGGGAGAAGAAGCTAAGGTGGCACCAAAAAAGAAATATAACGGAGCGAACCGAAAAAGAAGTTCGCGGAGGTAATGCTTAGACGGAATTATTGGGAAATTCTTTTGTGGAGGTGAGAAGAAAAATAAGATGTGCTCTCATTCGTTTCAGGGACCGCAGTGTGACATTTTCCAGGAAGAACTAGATTTGTGGTTTGGTTACTGTATTTATGAGAGACGGGTAAATAAGCTTGTAGTTCCGTCCCTCGAAATACCAACCTACTTCAGTCCCAAATTGCGTGAGACGAAAAAGGATCGTTATCCGACTTACTTTGTCTGTAATATAAATTTGAAGTCGGAAAAAATAGTTATCAGCAGAGGTAATAAGTCGAGCCAAATTCCATTTTAAAGGACTGGTGTGAACGTTCTAACCATGGGCGTTAGTATTGTAAAAGTAAAGTACTCCCGAGGTATTTTTGCGTTTCTATATATGAAGATCCCAAAGCATGAGTATACTTAGAAGACAACGGTTGGAGTGGGGAGAAACAGCTGTCTTGAGGGATGAAGGAAGATCCATAATATCTAGTATTCTGTTTGGAACAGTAACCAAATGTCTAATCCATTCTAGAATTAAAAGCAGAATATGACTGATTATCCTTCCTTGTTTGCTTTTTAATCAAAAGGTGGTGCCTCTGAAAAAAGAGGCTTCATCCAGTAAGGATTACAAGCCCTTCATGGGCAAATGCCTAAGATACATAATATTTCTTAAAGCCTATTCATTATTAAAAATGCAGCATGATACTTGCCAGAAACATATTTTCTTGATTGAATTCTTGATTGTAAGTGATGTTTAAATGCTTCAGTCAGGAGATTTCAGAAATGAGCTTGGTTTAGGATTGGAGAGTATTCAGAATTTCTAGATACAGTCCCATAATAGAAAATATTATTTGGTGAAATGCTGGTGAACTAGTAGTTGGTGTTGACCTGGGGAAAATAGGAGGAAGAAAGAGTATTGTGTGTGTCTGCTGCCTTGAGTTATTTGTAAAATGAATTTTTCCCCATTTTACAACCTATCTTGCCACAATTGGTAACTGAGTGACTGCAGTTAAGTTAGTAACACAGTTAAGTGAATCTGGATTTTCCATTAAGTTTGCTTATCAGAAGGTTGTAAAAGTTGATCACATGACTTCAGGACACTGCAACCGTCATAAATATTAGTCAGCTGCCAAGCCTCTGACTTTTGATCACATGATGTGCAATTGTTGTAAGTGTGAAAAACTGTCATAACTCACTTTTTTCAGTGCTGTGTAACTTTGAACTGTTGTAAGTCAACTACCTGTATATGGACAGTTTTATTGGTACTGTAAAATGTATTCCCAGAAAAAATGTTTTGTTTTCGAAACTTTTATTTTACTTCTGTTGCATTCAATTCAGTTCTTTCTCAGATCTTATTTCCCCTCATATAAGAGGCAGAAGCTAAATGTAGAGCAACTAAATGAGACATGGCATTGTTTTGTTTTACAGTCTATTGCACAATATTAAATCAAACATACAAATCTTTTTAATTGGACTGTGCTCTTGAATCCTTAAAATGAAGCAGCTATACCTCAGAGAACTGATATTCCTTTGAAAAGGGATATGAAACTTTTTAGACAGCCATGATAATATTGAACAATCCATTCAAAAATGTATTATCTTAGCTTCTTTCACTGGCTGAATTTATCTTTTTGAAAGTTTTTGATATAACAATTTGAACTTCAACTCCTATGGATTTCATTATTACCAAGATTTTTAAAAAGTTCATACTGTATTCTGCCAAATCATTTCAAATATCTTGTAAATGCATATTTCTTCAATACACTATAGGTAGACCTTGACTTACAACCATTCGTTTAGAGACCATTTGAAGTTCAGGGAACTGAAAAAAGTGATTTATGACCAGTTTTCAAACTTAAGACTGTTGCAGTAGCTTCATGGTCATGTGATCAAAATTTGAGCCCTTGGCAACTGGCATGTATTTATGACAGTTGCATTGTCCAGGGGTCATGTGATCACAATTTGTAAACTTCCCATCTGGCTTCCAACAAATGGGAAAATCCAGATTCAATTAGAAGTAGCAAGTGATTGAGTAGTTCTCATTTGCTAAAAGTAAAGGAATAGTATGTTTTGTAGTATGTACCCAGTCCAGAAATTCAATTCAATTATTTGGTTAATTACTGTTTACCTGTCGCCCCTGTTTGAAGCCCTCTGGGAAAGAAGAGTTCAACACTTCATTATGCAGTCTAATCTTAGATTAATGTAGTAAAATGTAATGGACGTTTATCATGCATGAATTTTCAAAATCAACACAAAGACTCTGTTACATCTATTTCAGGTGGTGTCTGTAATCCCAAGGACTATAGTTAAGTTTGAGGTAGTCTGTTTCTATGTATCACTATTATCCTGTTATTTCTGAAAAAAATGTACTGCACTAAGTTTAACTGCAGTAGTTTGTGGAAAAGGAAATATTAAGTTAAATACTTAATATCTCAGATACAATTTAATATAGATGTAGAGGTCCTTATCTTCTAGAAATATAAATAAATTTTTATTGTGGATACCAATTTGTTCAGGCTACTATTTGACCATTTAGAACTATATATAGGTAGTCCTCGACATGATCACAATTGAGCCCAAGTTTCTGTTGTTAAGTGAGACGTTTAAGTGAGTTTGCCCCATTTCAGTGCCGTTGTAACTTTGAATGGTCACTAAATGAACTATTGTAAGTCAAGGACTACTTGTACAGAATCTTCTCTTCCAATAATTTCTAATTGTTCTATTGATATTTTATTGAGAAAGAAAGAAAGCCAAATGTTTATCCATACCATGTTACTGACTGTCAGGAAGAACAACATGAAGTTTTCCCGATGTTTTAGACTACAGTTCCCATCAGTAAAGTCAGCATGGTTCATGGCAAGTGATTATGAGAGGTGTAGTTCACCAGCTGAAGAGTACCATATAGTTTAGCCTTCTTTTTGGTAGTTTTAACTGCTTTAATACTTCCCCCCCCCCCAAACTATTGTCTATAGTTATTACTATGGTTAATTATACTGAGTCCTCTTTTTTCCATTCTTTAAGAATATGCCATGGTGCTTCAAAGCTGTCAATCTTTGAAGCAGATGGAAACTACTCAAACTTCTTGTGTGTTTCTGGATGCTTCAGAGTTCAGATAATATGACACATGCATATGCTCCATAGTCTTCCATGAGTCTACAGATTTCAGTAAAAGGTCTGTAATTACTCCTGCAGTCATGTTGGGAGTGTGGAATTGCTTCCAGGATGAAAGGATTAGATTGTTCTCCTTGCATTAAATTTCATAGGAATACTCCATTGAGTTGTAATTAACAAAAGATGTCTGAGAGGAGATATATACTAGAATCTGACAAAGGAAATTATATTGAAATGGTTTATATTATTGGTAAAATTTATACACACAAACAGACACTTCTTCATGCAGAAAAGGAAAGATAATATGATTGAGAAGGCCCATGTTCTAGAGTGGCCTCAGACACAGAAACTAATAAGACATCTTAGGTGAGTCACTGTCTCAGCCCTAGTTGAAAAACTTCCCAGAAAAAGATAGGCAAACCACCTCAGTATTATTGCCAAGAAAATTGTAGGACCTCTCTATAAATCATTAGGAATCATGATTGATACAAAGACAACAAAATATAATAAAGTATTTACATGACTGGATTGTGTTGATTTTTTTAAAATATAAAAAATTAATCTACTGTAAAAATACATTATATTTACTTTATTGAATTAATACATTTTTCTCTTTCTTTTAAAGCTTTTGTTGAAACTTAATATGGTTTTCATTGTGTCATAGGTGCCAGTGAAAGTGCAGGCAAACATATGCTTGAAGCATGCAACAATAATCTGGAAATGGCTGTCACTATGTTCCTTGATGGTGGAGGCATTGCTGAAGAACCCAGCACTAGTTCTGCAAGTGTATCAAACCTGCGACCACATACAGAGTACGTAGTGTTGTAAAGAGGATAATTAAATTATCTTTGAAATTTGTATGTATATTTCAGATATTTTTGCTTTTAAGTTCTTAGTTTTTCTTATGCAGATGCTTCTATTGTTGCTTTGGGTATCTATTTAATCATCAAAACATTTAAAGCACAGCTCCTTTGTTACTACCAATTATCAAAATTAACAGAGAACAATATAATTATTCTAGCATAATGATCTAGGCAACACCTTTCTAATTTATCTGGATTCTTTTGAATTTCCAGAAACTAAGGAAGAAAATAAATCTGCAGCATAAATTCTGCCATTCTCCACCTGACTGATTTATGTGGCTGGGTAGGATATGTGTGCATGAATCTGAGGTAGATGATACTTTACTGCAGACAGGAGTGATGCCTTGAAGGAAGCAGTATTATGTCCCCTTCTAAAATGACCATTTCTTAATCCAGTCATATGATAGAGCAGGCATGTCAAACTGCCAGCCCACGGGCCAGATGCGTCACAATGAAACTGCGCCCACCCCAGTGCCGGCAATGGGGAAAAAGTCACGACGATGTCGCAAGTTTGACATGCCTGTGATAGAGTTACTGGCTGAACTCCAATGTTTCCCTCTCATGAGAAAGTTTTGGAGAAAGTGCTAAAGCTTCAGTTTTACAGAGTCTTATAGGAAAAGTTGGTTTTTCCTTAGGGGTTTTTCAGATTTATTAAAATGAAAGTGTGCAAATGTGTCAGGAATTTTGATTTGTTCCTGACATAAAATGGTAAAGACTAGGTCCAGACATTTGAGTACTTTTTCCTTTTGTGTAATCACAAGGGCAATTTCCATGCATTATTTTTTGTTCTTAGTAATAGTTTGATCACCATTGCATAGTTTCAATATAGGTATGAAGAACAGATTTTCCTCTTGCCCAAGTAATACTGACATTTTCAAGCTATTATTTGTTTTTTGTCTTCGTAGAGATGAAGTGAGGGCACCTATTCCTCAAAAACAAGAAATTCTGGTAGAACCCGAACCCTTATTTGGTGGTAAGTTTCTGTTGATCTTCAAAGAGTGAACAAAAATTCTTCATTGTCCTTACAATGGAAATGATGAGATCTTATAGTACTGAAAAATATGCATAACAGGCAACTTTCCTTAATACTTACTAAAATAGTTTGACTTTTTTATTAGTTCATTATTTACTATTTTTATTTTGTAAATAAGAAAGTGAAGTAGAGGAGTATTAATATCACTACAGTAGTAATTCCGAATAACATTCTGTTTAAAAAGATATATATCTCTGTTTAGTTACGTATTCTCTGGATTTGTAAATGATAATGTATACGTCCTCAAAATATGGTAACTCAGCCTGGAAAACCTGGGAGTCTTCATGTTTATTATCATAAGTGAGTCTTGGACTTATTTTTTTAAATTATTTCTGATCATGCTACAGGATTCAGTTCATAAGGGGAGATTATGACCCGACAAAGCTGTAGGTTATACGTTCATGCAGTCAGGCACAAAACAGCATGTCATAATAGAATGGATTTTATAATTGTATCTGTTTTAAACATGTATTTCCTGATATGTATAATCTATGACATATGCTGTACTCTGTTAGTACATAAAACATGGAGATAAAAAGTTTTTTTCTGTGCTAGCATGTTTCCATCACAGTGAGTAAGAAAGAGCTACATATCTTTGGGTTATTCTTTTCAGGAGTGCATGGTAATAGCAAGTTGGATAGAATGATTATACATTCTTCTTGTATCACAAATACATTATGCCTCATTCACTCATGCTCACCATTGATTGTCGCTTATACATATTTCCTCCATCATCACCTTGGTTAACTACATATACAGGTTTTGTTTATTTGTTTTAGGAGCCCTGTCTTCTGTAGCAAACAATTAGGACGTAACAGAATCTTCATGCAGTCACTTAATTGCCACATGATGAGCCTCATGCCTGTTTGTTAGTTGGCCATAGAGACAAAATAGGGATTTTGCCAATGTACAGTCTCCATGGTGCCTGGATTCGCAATTACTCTATCAGAAGATATCGTTGCTAATGATAACTTCCTATGTCCTATAACAGCCCAACTGATTTTCCCATCTTTGAAGCCATTACAGTTGAGCTAAAAATAAAGTCACCCAGTGTCTAATCATTAACTTTCAGTAACATCTGCAACAACCAACATACTAACCAAGCCCACAGGCCAGCAGTCTAGTGTTGCTATTGCAAGCAATCTTTCTTCAGTCCCCAGTTAAAACTACCTCTCATCTTTCCAACATTGATTCCAGCCTGTAGGGCTTCCCACAATGAGCACATTCTCACAGCAGCAGAGCTGTCCTAGACCTGTTCTTGCATAACAGCTAGGAGCCTTTCTACTGCCAGTCTTGTCTCCCAGCTATAGATAGCTTTCTTCAGAATCCATAGCTCACTCCATAGGAGTTATTTGTGTTTTAGTTGGCACAGTGATGACTCTTGTAACAGCCTCTCCATTACCAGGCCCCATAATACTCCAGGCTGGTCAGCAATGAACCCAAGGCCTTTTATAAAGCTTCTCTAGCCTCCTCCAGTTCTGGAATTCTTGATATGGCATAATATTTTCACTTTGTCACAATCCATGTGCAGCCGTACAGCAGTCCATATTTTATCTTCTGGACCCCCAAGGTTGAAGAATTGGCAGAATTTCCACCTCTGGCTCCCCAGTCATAGTTTATAAGCTATAAGAACATTATTGTAGCTGCTGTTCTATCCTGGGGATGATTTTGAAATTCCAAGTATAGCCACATCCTTTATTTTCTCTAGGAGCAGTAATTTCACAACAAACTGCATACTGCTTCACTGTGCAGGACAGACTTAACTTTTGGATGCAGTCATCCATGCATCATGTTGCTTCAAATCCAGAAGATCTGTCAAATGATTATGGAATGACAAAACATACAGCTTAGTGCAGCAGCTTAATGCAGCAGCTCCAATGTGGAATCGGCTTCAGACATTATTTTGGCTGAATTCAGAAGCCAACTCCAGCTAACCAAATCTTCTATTCAAACATCAGGCCATCAGCATCTAAATGTATCAGTCTCCATTATGACTTTTTTCTCCATACTGTTGTATACTGTATACTCCATATACTGTACCTATCCCAAGGGGGACTGAATACTTTCTGAATGCACTATACCTATCTTCACAAGTTGCCTTTCTGCAACTTACATTAATACTGGTGAGAATGATGGGAGTCGTATTGCTACACATATTGTTTATCCATCAGACTTGAATCTAAAAAATGACTGCAAAAACTAGTCTGTAAGAGACTACGGTGGTTAAGAATACAGTTCTTTTGCTGATTGGCCAAAATGTCTGTTTTATATCCACTTTTGTCTGTGAAGTGTGGTGTGATCTCACTATGGATTTCTGTAAAAGCAGTAGTATATTAATTGATTATTTTCTTCCTTATCATTCCAGAGATTGCCATTTTTATAGTAGCTACTATTTAGATATTTTCTTTGTACTACCCTTTTCTAATCAGTTACTGCCCTAAGTGATTTCATAAGTGAAGTTTTTGTTTTTTTTTGTGCTACAATACGCCTTTTGCACTTTCCTCATTTTGAACCACATTAAACATAAATATTAAACACATGTAAAGATTCACTTGAGGCTCTTCATTAACCCATTGTTTTCACCAGTCTGATTAGTTGATATTATAAAGAAACTTGAGTACCTTCCTGTTCATAGCTAACTCCTGATTGCCTACAAATAAATGGTTCACCATTATATTGTATTATGCTGATGAGTATTGCTGCTCCAGCCTTTCTGATTTTAAACTTGGGGAGAGCAAATTTAACTTATTTTGTGTACATAATGTGTACATAAAATGCTGTAAATATTTTATATTCAAGTATACATCAAGATAGATATACAGGCACTGGAAACATAAGAACTAATGAATTCATGTATGAAACTAATTAGTGCTGTCCTGGAATTTGTATACATCCTTCACTATAGGTATGTACCACAAATCCACAATGTGGTTGTATAATAAGATTTTATTATTAATCTTTATTAAATTCTGTTCCTATTAAGCACCAAAAAGACGCAGACCAGCTCGTTCAATATTTGATGGCTTTCGGGATTTCCAGACAGAAACTAGTAGGTATCTGTGGATAATTATATTCATATAACTTTTTGTTTCTTTTATGGTTTATGTCCAAGGGTAACAGTATAGGCCCCTTGGAACTTCAAACAATTTCAGTAAGGAGAATAAAAAGCCATTGCTATATTCACACAGTAAATACTGTATATTTCCATATGTGCAAGATATTGTTTTCCAAGGAAGTTATAATTTTTGAAGTAACAATAATCTCTTTGTCAGTATAAGAAAGTGTAGGTGCAGTCAGAAAAAAATCAGTTATGTACCATTTGATTTCAGGAATTAAAAGCTAGACAGGCAAGTAAAAAAGGCAGCAGTGGCAAGCTAATTTGATATTTCAGTCAGAAAACTGGATGAAATCACCGGATATTGAGCTCTTTCTCGTTATCTTAGTTTTTATTATGACTAGGATTTAATCCACCAAGTAAGTCAAAATTTATAATCCAATAAGCTCCTAACAAATAGGAGAGGTAAAGAATAAAAATAGTAAGTAGTTAAAAAAAAACAGAAGGGCAAAAACAAAAAGAGAAAAGGGAAAAAAATATACCGAAATTTGTAATCCAAAGTATTCTGTTCAGAGGGATTTCTTGTTGTTCACTCTTTCAAAACAGCTTGTAAAGTTTCCAAGTCAAGCTGTATTTGTAATTCAGGGAAGTCCAATGACTTCAAACACAGTTTTTATTTATAATTGTAATCCATCCTGTAGGACAGGGCAATCCAAAAAGAGTCTTTCTTCCCCAGCCACAATATTCAGGACTTCAGATACCAAGGACATCAAGATGTTTAAAATATAAGCAATGTCTGGGCATACAGCCAAGTTTTATTCCAATCAGAGCAAACTGCATATAGTTCTCAGTTTTGCCACTAGATGTCATTAGATGTCCATTCCCACCATACTTTGAAAAAGTTTAAGACAGTGGTTCTCAACCTGTGGGTCGGGACCCCATTTGGGGTCGAACAACCATTTCACGGGGGTCGCCAAACAAGGCTGTCTACCATTTTCCCCCCCCTTTTCTTTGGCCACGCCCCTGGCACTCGGTGATGTATAAGTGGTTGAGGGTCACCACAACATGGGGAACTGTATTATGGGGTCGCGGCATTAGAAAGGTTGAGAACCACTGGTTTAAGAAGTTAAAAACCCGATGGTTTCCAAATAAGAAACAAACAAAAAGGATCTATAAAACCCAAAGTTTTCCAAGTTATCCTTCTTTTATGCCTCAGTCAGCTTCACAATATTGCTATAAGTCAGTTTTAATTTCCCCAAAGCGTAAACCGCCGTTTATAGTTCAGGAGGGAGGGGTAAGGAACCCCCCCCCCTCTCTGGAGCTAGTGGTTTTGTTTTTGAATGCTGTTGGAATGCTGTTTCACAGAACTGGTATCCACTTGTAGAGAGATAAGAAAAGTAGTCTCACCCAGATCGGCTTTAATATTCCTTGATGCACAGAAAGCGTTTGACAACATAAACTGGCAATTTATGTTTCAGCAATTTGCAGAAATGGCCTTTGGAAAAAACTTTATAAATGTAATCAAAACAATTTATTGTAAACAAACTGCCAAAATAATTGTAAATGGAGATTTTACAGAAAACTTCAATATTAAAAAGGGCACAAGACATTACTATTTATTCTAACATTGGAAGTACTGAATAGAAACATTAGACAAGATATAGAAATTAAAGGACTGGAGATAAAAGATGAAAAATATAAATTACAAGCATTTGCAGATGATCTGGTTTTTATACTGGAAGATCCATTGGAAACAAGCACTAAACCTCTGGAGAAAATAGAAAAATTTGGAGAAGTGGCAGGGTTGACAATAAACAGAGAAAGACCAAAGTGCTAACAAAGAATTTAACAGAAAAACAAAAAAATTAACTAACAAAAAAACAAATCTTCAAATAGTTAAAAAAGTCAAGTACTTGGGAATTTGTGTAACAGCAAAAGAAGATAACTATGTAAGACTGCTAAAACAAATAAAATTGGATTTGGAAAAGTGGAAAAACTTCCAACTTTCAATGTTGGGGAGAATAGCATCAGTGAAAACGAATATCTTACCAAAAATACTCTTTTTATTTCAAATGATCCCTGTAAGGCTGGGAAAAGCCTTTTTTGATGAACTGAATACAATAATATTGAAATTTATCTGGCAAGGAAAAAAAGCTAGAATCAAAGTGAAAATGCTACAAGAAGCAAAAGACAGTGGAGGATTTGGACTGCCGGACTGGAGGTTATATTACCAAGCAACCATTCTAACATGGCTTAAAGAGTGGATAATGCTTAGAGATAAAAGACTATTGTACCTAGAGGGGCATGACCTGCAAATCGGTTGGTATGCCTTTCTGTGGTATGGAAAACATAAAATACAAAGGTACTTTCAGAACCATTTTATAAGGAATGCGCTTCTTTCAGAATGGGAAAGAATAAAAGCAAAAATTTATATTAAGATACCTGAATGGCTTTCAACAATGGAAGCTTTTGCTTACCCAAATTTAATTAACTATGATAAAGTTGTGACTTATAAGGATATTTTGGACAATGAAGGAAAATTGAAAGACAGACAAGAGTTACAAGAACAAGGTATTGATTTAGCATGGTGGCCATATCTGCAAATTCAAACGAGTTATGAAAAAGATGTTAAACCAACAGGATTTTATAAAGAACAGACAGACTTTGATCAGATATTGCTAAAAACAAATGAAAAGTTGATTAAGAAACTCTATAGATTTCTGTTAAACTTAAAGATGGAGGAAGAACAAGTAAAAGAAACAATGATACGGGCAAAGAATTTTGGATATAATATAGAAATAGAAGATTGGCAAAAGTTATGGGAAAGAAATGTTAAATTAACTAAAGCAGCGTCATATAAAGAAAACTTATATAAAATGTTTTACAGATGGCATATGACACCAGTGAGATTAGCAAAAATGTTTAAAAATACTTCAAACAATTGTTGGAAATGCAAACAGAGACCAGGTACTTATTATCATATCTGGTGGACATGCCCCAAAGCAAAAAGATTTTGGGTTAAAATACATTTATGGTTGGAGAAAATGACTAAAAAACAAATAGACTTTAAACCAGAATTATTTTTGTTAGGAATAATAGAAGCTAATTATGAGAAAGATTGCAGATATCTAATACTACACATAGTAACGGCAGCAAGAATTGTATTTGCCCAACATTGGAAAAATGAAAATTTACCAATTGATGAAGTAGTAATTAAGAAAATCCTAGAGTGTGCAGAAATGGATAGATTGACTTTAAAGATTAAAGAGAAAGATGATTCAGTGTACTTTAGAACATAGGATAATTTTTATCAATGGCTAGAAAAATGAATCAGAGAGAAGGGAACGTGATATGTAATTTTGAATATATATTAGCAAGAGGAAGGCTATTGAATGATGAATTAACATATTGTTCATGATAATTAACTATATCTATTATTGTTAGTTAAATACATGTACCCAGACATTATGCTGTTTGCTAAATATTGAAAATGTTATTTGGAAAAACCCTAACCCTAACCTAAATTCCAACCCTAATTCTGACCCTATAAAAATTAATAAAATCTATATATATATAAAAGAACAGGCACTAAGTACCCAGAGCCATAGAATCAGTAATATACCAAATCAGACAGGACCCAAGGTGCAGATGATGGAGAAAGCTATACAAGAACATGTGGACAACCGTCCCAAGTGCACTCCGGATCTTATAAAGGAGCAGGTAAAGAAGGGCAAGAATTAGATGAAAGGAGTAAAAACTAGATTCTAATAGAGATTTTCTGTTCACACCTCACTTTTTAGAAACCAAAATTTTAATTACTATATAACTATTTTAAAAAAGAGCTGGTTGATTATTAACCCATTGCTTTGTTATTAAAGGAAGGGAACAAAAAAAATCTGCCAGGAGGCCAAAAACAATAATCCTGTAATATTTAAAAAATTGGCGAATATTTAAATTACAAATTTAGGAATGGAATATCTATTACTAAACATGATAGTGATGATGATGATGTTTTTTTCCAGATAGTTAGAGAGGGAGGGAGGGAGGGAGACCAAACTAGTGAACATACCTAATATTCCTGTCTTCTATTTTCCCTACAACAATTCTCTGAGGTAGGTTGGGCCAAGGAAGAGTGACTGGACTAGAGCCAGATTGTTGCCCAGTCAGCTTTCATGCCAAAAAATGTATAAACATGTAATGGCTATTACTAAAAGATATTTAGTATAAAGCTGATTTAGGCTAATCACAATAGTACAATCACATTGCACTTGGTGAAGTAACTGAATCTGCTCTTGTGAATATTTTGTCTTTGTTTTTGTTTTGGGGCTCTATAGTTCGGCAGGAGCAAGAATTGAGAAATGGAGGAGCCATAGATAAGAAGCTCACTACCCTTGCAGATCTCTTCAGACCGCCAATTGATTTGATGCATAAAGGAAGCTTTGAAACAGTAGGTCATTTTGATGCATTGAATTTTGGATTGGCTTTGGTATCGCTGTGCATGTGCATGTGTAAATTATGTCATGGTAATGTGTATAAACAATTCCAGCAATCTGTATTTTTATTACTGCAGTAGAGGAAGTTGCTTGTAATTAATAACTTCATTTGAGGAAGTAGCTTTTGACTATATCCATTAGTCTCATACTGTGTTCTTTCATTAAGAAGTATTCAGGTAGAAGTTAGTAATTAAGAAATAGATTTGAATAATATGAATTAAATGATCATTTTCTAATGACAACATATATACATAAAATAAGGATTGGTCTTTTTCTATCTTTAGGTTTAGAAATCTGTCATCAATCATTTCCTTTAATAGATTTGTAGGAAGAATTATAATTCAATACTATATTATTGTATTCTACTATATTATTGTATATTATACTAATATAATTTGAATTATAATTATAATTCAAAAACATACCACATTTTTTCTTTACATTGGTATGACATGGTTGAGAAAGATTTTTATTGGAGAAAAATATGACCAAACTAAACTGTAGTGGATTAGAATAGCCATTGATCTGTATAATAGTCAGTATAAAACAGAATCTTGAATTTTTGATTGTTCATTGTTTACTGTTTGGTTAATAAACTTGGAACTGCAGTTTTGGACTTTGTAAATGGAAGAAAATCAATAGTTTCCTAAATTACTAATCTTTAAATCATTCCTTACCCTTCCTGGTGTTACTATATACTAAATGAACCTATTGAAAAAATTAAAAACTCTTGGAATTGAATTTACCAAAAAGGTCAGGACAGAAATAAATGATCTCCTACTGCCACCCCCTTGCAACAGTTTTCTTGTTGCTTCAAGGGGGGAATGGAAATAAGTTTATTCAAAAGTAATACATTTTGTGCAGCAATTATATATGAAAATAATATCAGGCTTTTTTATCTTTTATTTGCATTTGAAGTCACTTTCAGAGTTATTTTTCCTATCAAGACTTGACTGATTGCCCTACACACAGTGTACTATTTGCCTATAAGCATACAGTGAGGAAAAAAATTATTTGTGTATTTGCCCATTGACAAAGAAATAATCAGTCTATAAGTGTAATGGTAGGTTAATTTTAACAGTGAGAGACAGAATAATAAAAAAATCCAGAAAAACACATTTCAAAAAATTTATAAATTGATTTGCATTTTAATGAGTGCAATAGGTATTTGATCCCCTATCCATCAGCAAGATTTCTGGCTCCTCGGTGTCTTTTATACAGGTAATAAGATTAGGAGCACTCTCTTAAAGGGATGGTCCTAATCTCAGCTTGTTACATGTATAAAAGACACCTGTCCATAGAAGCAATCAATCAATCAATCAGATTCCAAACTCTCCACCATGGCCAAGACCAAAGAGCTATCCAAGGATGTCAGGGACAAGATTGTAGACCTACACAAGGCTGGAATGGGCTACAAGACCATCACCAAGCAGCTTGGTGTGAAGATGACAACAGTTGGTATGATTATTCGCAAATGGATAAAACACAAAATAACTGCCAATCTCCCTCGGTCTGGGGCTCCATGCAAGATCTCACCTTGTAGAGTTTCAATAATCATGACAACGGTTAGGAATCAGCCCAGAACTACACGGGAGGATCTTGTCAATGATCTCAAGGCAGCTGGGACGATAGTCAACAAGAAAACAATTGATAATAGACTATGCCATGAAGTACTGAAATCCTGCGGCGCCCGCAAGGTCCCCCTGCTCAAGAAAGCACATGTACAGGTCTGTCTGAAGTTTGCCAATTAATATCTGAATGATTCAGATGAAAGTGTTGTGGTCAGCTGAGACCAAAATTGAACTCTTTGGCATCAGCTCAACTCACCGTGTTTGGAGGAGGAAGAATGCTGCCTATGATCCCAAGAACACCATCCCTACCATCAAACATGGAGGTGGAAACATTATGCTTTGGAGATGTTTTTCTGCAAAGGGGACAGGATAACTTCACTGCATCAAAGGGACGATGAACGAGGCCATGTACTGTCAAATCTTGGGTGAGAACCTCCTTCCTTCAGCCAGGGCATTGAAAATGGGTCGTGGGTGGGTATTCCAGCATGACAATGACCCAAAACACATGGCCAAGGCAACAAAGGAGTGGCTTAAGAAGAAGCACATTAAGGTCCTGGAGTGGCCTAGCCAGTCTCCAGACCTTAATTCCATAGAAAATCTGTGGAGGGAGCTGAAGGTTCAAGCTGCCAAACGTCAGCCTGGAAACCTTAATGACTTGGAGAGGATCTGCAAAGAGGAGTGGGACAAAATTCCTCCTGAGATGTGTGCAAACCTGGTGGCCAACTACAAGAAACATCTGACCTCTGTGATTGCCAACAAGGGTTTTGCCACCAAGTACTAAGTTATGTTTTGCAAAGGGGTCAAATACTTATTTCACTCATTAAAATGCAAACAAATTTATAACTTTTTTTGAAATGTGTTTTTCTGGATTTTTTTGTTGTTCTGTCTTTCACTGTTAAAATAAAGCTACCATTAAAATTATAGACTGATCATTTCTTTGTCAGTGGGCAAACGTACAAAATCAGCAGGGGATCAAAAAAGTTTTCCCTCACTGTATCCTAAATCCAGAGTAGAGTTGTTTTTTATTTAATAACATGTAGTATTTAACAATTTTGTATAGGGAGTCCTTGACTTACAGCAGTTTATTTAGTGACCGTTCAAAGTTACAGTAGCATTGAAAAAAGTGATTTATGACCATTGTTCACATTTACGACCTTTGCAGCATCTCCATGGTCATGTAATCAAAATTCAGATGCTTGGCAACTGACGCATACTTATGACTGTTGGTGTGTCCGAAGGTCACGTGATCATCTTTTGCGACTTTCTGACAAGCAAAGACAAAGGGGAAGCCAGATTCATTTAACAACCATGTTAATAGTTTAAGAACTGCAGTGATTCACTTAACAAATGTCTCACTTAACAACATAAATTTTGGGCTCAATTGTGGTCATAAGTCAATGACCACCTGTAATTTACCATTAACCAAGTTAGTTATAGGAACTTATCAAAATAGACCTTTTTCTCCCCATACACACATACATGCATACTCATCACTTTGTTCCCTTCTATATTAAGGAACATTGTGGAAAGTGCAGAAAAAAAGTAGAAAGTAGTAAACAAAATAACAGGAGTTAAGTGAAAAGGGAAGGAATCACTATATCTCCTCCTAATATTTATTCTGCCAGCTGTCCTAGCTTCCACATCTGTACATGCATTACTTTTTCAGTCTTTCCTTTCAAATCATTTGCTTTTCCTTCATTATTGAAAAATAATGTTACTGCATACACGAAGTTGTATTTTTACAGACATTCACTTCTGTAACAAAACTTCTCACAAAGGTAAACCATTATGATGGGGTTTTTATATGGTAGTGTGCTTGAATAGTTTTGAGAAGCCATAAATTGTGGCTTAAGACTAAAGGTTTTGTGCTTTATAGTCTGGTTTATATATATATCAGCAGTCACTGCACTAGTGTTCAACTTACAGTTAAGCTTTCAAGATTTTTTTTCTGGGGCAGGGGGTCAGATTTTAAGCTTGGTCAATATATATCTGTTCATTATTGTTATCCTATATGCAATTAAAAGTTTAACTCATATGGAAATGAAACCGTATAAGTGTTTCATTAAAAATACATTCATGGTACATAATTTAGCTTCTTTTAACGAGTGTGAAAAAGTAGAACCCTCATTTACCTTCTGAGTTAAACTAAAATGTTTTAATTAAATTATAAACACTAGGTTGTAGATTTAACACAACTATCAGATTTGTGTTAAATTCTGCAATTGCTTTAGCATATTGATATTTATTTATTATTGCTACTTATTTATTAAGCCTTCTGTTTCTTCTAAAAATATTTAACTTACTTGACAAATTTATACATAGTTTTCTGAGTGTAATAAAGCCAGATAGGTGAAACTATATAAACAATATTGCGGTGTAGAAAAAAGCTAGATAAAAAAGACATTTGCGTTATTTAGTTTCCTTTTCTAGGGCAGTAAATAGGACTGTGTAGCTGTTGCACAATCCCAGTAAAAGTATGGTTGTTTTAAGAGTTGGAGCCAGCACTATGTTTGTTCCACTGAACATTCTGAAGTGTCTTTGAATTATTTCCATAGCATGGGAGAACCCAGTAAAATGTACATTGAATTCTTTGAATGCTACAGCTATTTTGGATAAACATAAAACATATTTTAGTTCCATTTTTAAGTCATGCTGCATAACCTAGTCCACTATAAGTTTTATAAGCAAGTCCAAAGGTGTTTTTCCTTGAAGACGTTTTGCTTCTTATCCAAGAAGCTTCTTCAGTTTATAAGCAAGATTTGTTATCTTGAATTCATATGTCAAATTCAAATACATTAAAAAAAGAATCAGCCATATTAAGCATGTTGAGAAAATGTCAGTATCAATAGGGAGGCAATGTATTTAATAAATCAACTGTTTTATAATTTTAAGACAAATCATAAAAATATAGATAATTTTAGTTGATATGTGCATTTTTGAGATTTTCTAAATATTATTATGGTTATATTATAATAATGCATTTATCATACATTTCATTGATTTAACTAATGGAGAAGATCAGACTTTTTACTATTATGGTGTTGATTTACTCCAATACCTGGTCAGTTGGTTAACATCCTGGATCAATATGTTATATTGTAATCCTAATGCAAGTATCTATTCTGAGGCAATTCTCTTAAAATATTTCTTCAGATGTTCAAGTGGCTTCCAGCATATTGGCATTTTAATTGTCATAGCAGGTATTAGTGGCTGAAAAATATACATCTCTTAATCTCCAATACAGAATAAAATTACTGAGAAGAAATATTTCCATTTTAATTCAAGAAAAGAGTTTATTAACATAACTTTAACTGTAGAATGGTCATTTTTCCATCACCAAAAAATAAGAAAAAATAGAATACCAATTTACATATTAACAAATTTAAATATTACTAAAATTATAATAAAAACACAGTAACTTTAATGCTGGTTTTTATTTAATTTATAGAATGTCTTGCCATTTATAAATTCTATTTAAATAATTAGTTGTCAAAATAAAACAAATCTATATCACTGAACTATTAACTAATTAAAATACTATAAACAAAAAATTGTTAAACTAATACTTGGTTTTTAACATTTTAACCTAAACAATCAAGTATAAAACTGAAAACCCTGAAAAAGTCCAGGCTTATTTTTATGCACATTTTTCCATGAGTGAAAGAAAGGATCTCATTGGTGCTTGGGTCTTGCAAAGATATTATGGAATATAATTATAAAATGAAGTTTGAACTGGAAGTGTACACACAATTTATACATATTTACTTGTAAATTTTCAAAAGCAATATATAAGCTTATTATAAGATTATATAAATTTTGTCTTTCAATCAAAGTGGCTATTCAAATTATCTTTTCCTCCAATAATAAATCAACCTATTTATATTTATTTGGCACTGAAATGTCTCCACTACAATATTGTTTTAGTGGTTGACCTGAAAAAGATGTTTTGTTATAAAATCCTAGTGAAAACTGTGTTCTATATTGCTTTATTTCAATATAGGTGAGTGCTTCTGTGTCCATTGTGGTGCTTATTCGGTGGCCAATGGATCAGATATTTCACTTTTTAAAAGTGAAATCTTATTTTCCAAGATGCATAGTCAAAAAGGGGTACTCATGAATCTGTGTTTCTTTTCATAACTAATTAAACTCATGAGTAAATTTCCTTTAAGGAAATCCCAAATATTTTTGTCCTAGTTATTTAGGAAATATGACCATTCCAATTTTTGATATAGCACTCTTTTTTTCAACAGGTATGACAATTCAGCGATCAGAATTACATTCTTGATCAAACTCCTACATTAACTTGCAACCAACCAATCAGGCAATGCCAGCTTTGAGACTCAAACCAGTAAGATCTCTTCCTGCAACTTCAAACCCTGCCACCTCCCCCACTTGCAATCTGGTCAACAAAAAGTTCACCAATAATACTACAATATAACATATATGAATGAATGGTAAATTAGAGGAAATGAATAGTTGAACAACAATCTATCAAGAATCTTAATCCTAATCTGCCAAATTTATTTTGTCTGTTGAATCAGATAATTTGCTTTGTAATCAGATCAATGCAACTGATTCCATATATTCTTCTAAGTGTTTTATTCATTTATTTCCCTTTTTTCCAGTCAGTTTTGGAATTAAAGAAAGTTTATTTTCCTAACTTTCTCTCTTTGGCATGTTAACACTCATCGGTCTGAGATTACCAATGTGTAATCTTGATATGACAAGTTGACCTGCAGAGACTTCTAACCCTGCACGCTGCTTGTCATGCTTGTTCGTGTATTAAATTGTTGAGTCCTGATAGAATTTAACAAATAAAAAAGGGTTTATAAAAGCCTAGAACAATAAATAGAAGCCATCATTGCTGGCATTGTTTCTTGAAAACTTTTTCTTTTTTGGCTAATGTTCTTAATGTTCTGTTTGTCTTCAGGCCAAGGAATGTGGTCAAATGCAGAACAAGTGGCTCATGATTAATATACAGAATGTGCAGGATTTTGCCTGTCAATGTCTCAATCGTGATGTTTGGAGCAATGATGCTGTAAAAAATATTATCCGGGAACACTTCATTTTTTGGCAGGTATAAAGGCATTATTTTCAGTTTAACTAAAAAATTAGAAACAATCAATATTTATTTGATATTTACTCTGGCCTTATTCATATCATATTTTGTATCAGATTTTATTAACAAATGCTAAATTGCTTTAATATTCAAATGTTTTCAAGAATTTTAAATGAACCTTCTTGACTATTGTACAGGTATACCACGACAGTGAGGAAGGACAAAGATACATACAATTCTATAAATTGGGAGATTTCCCTTATGTGTCTATCCTGGACCCCAGGACAGGTAAGAAGAGGAAAAAAGGCTGAAAGCATATTAACTCTGAATTGTATTCTTATATAACACGATAAATAATGTCATTGGTTTAACAAGGGAAGGATTATAGTTTCCGTATTTGCCGGCAAGATTTCCAGAACTGACCAATTAGCCATATTTCCAGTCTATATCAGATGAACTTGATCAAGTATAATAGGTTTAATGTTTACATTTAATGTTAAATTTAATATTCATGTTTGCTTTGCCTATGTTTTTTAAATCCCTTTTAATATAATTGGCTATTGTGATACTTAGGATTAAGAGCTTCTAATTAGCCATTGATTTTTTTACTTATTCACAATGTTTCTTGCCTCTACAGAATCAATAAAAAATTAAAATAGCATCTGTGATGATTTTGGTGATCTAAGATTTTGGTTACTGAAGTACAATTTATTGTTATTTTTAACAGGGCAGAAACTAGTGGAATGGCATCAATTAGATGTAACTTCTTTTTTGGACCAAGTGACTGGGTTCCTAGGTGAACATGGACAACTGGATGGACATTCCACTAGCCCTCCCCAGAAACGTACTCGCTCAGTAAGTATAATGACAAAAACAGTATATTTTTTATTCTTCTTGTTCTTAGTTGCGGAGTCGTGTCCGACCCATCGCAACTCCATGGACAACGTTCCTCCAGGCCTTCCTGTCCTCCACCATCTTCTGGAGTCCATTTAAGCTCACACCTACTGCTTCAGTGACTCCATCCAGTCACCTCATTCTCTATCATCCCATTCTTCTATTGCCCTCAATCTTTCCCAGCATTAGGCCCTTCTCCAGTGAGTCCTTCCTTCTCATTTGGTGGCCAAAGTATTTGGGTTTCAACTTCAGGATCTGGCCTTCTAAAGAGCAGTCAGGGTTGATCTCCTGTAGGACTGACCAGTTTGATCACCTTGCAGTCCAGGGGACTTGTAGGAATCTTCTCCAGCACCATAGTTCAAAGGCCTCAATTCTTTGACGCTCAGCCTTTCTTATGGTCCAACTTTCACAGCCATACATTGCAACTGGGAAAACCATGGCCTTGACTATAAGCACTTTTGTTGCCAGGGTGATGTCTCTGCTTTTTAGTATGCTGTCTAGATTTGTCATAGCTTTCCTCCCCAGCTATTCTTAATAAGAAATAAAAGTATATGGAGCCTTTCTCTTCCCCTCTCACTGTCTCAAAATATGTGTTTTAAAGTAACTCATCTTTTTCTTTTGTGTTATGATTGATTGATTGATTAGGAGAGCTTGATTGATGCGAGTGAAGATAGCCAGTTGGAAGCTGCAATCAGGGCATCATTACAGGAAACACATTTTGACTCTGAACAAATCAAGCAGGAAAGCAGATCAGATGAAGAGTCTGAATCAGAGCTTTTCTCCGGAAGTGAGGAGTTTATTTCTGTTTGTGGTTCTGATGATGATGAGCCAGAAAGTTCTGCCAAATCTAGAAAATCTCCACACAAGGATTTGGGATGTAGAAAAGAGGAAGGCAGAAAACCTCAACCTGAACCAAGAACTGAACCCGAGATGACAATAAACCACAGGGGACTATCTTCTCTAGATTCAGGAGTGCTAGAAGAAACTGGAACTAAGCCAGAAGATTTACAGAAGGAACCAAGCGTGAATGGTAAGTATGGTTCCTGTCACTTAGTCAATTTCAGAACTTTACAAAAGTCTCATCAAGAAATCTTTACCAAAGAGTATTTCTTCCTTTCTGCTGCACTTAATAAACTGAATGAACCTAAGTAGTAAAAAAGTATAAACCTGGCTAAGCAGTTCACAATCTACATGAGGGATTAAAAATTTGTTCTTTTGTGGAAGTTTGTAAACAATAACTTCCAGCATCTTCTCCATTGGCAGCTAGCTGAATCTGCTGGGAATTGTACTTTCAATGATGAAAAGTAATATGTATTGTTCAGTCAAAACATATATAACTTGATTGGTATAACAAATTGATAAAAGTGTTGTGCATGCTAAAATGTATAATTGTATGTGACTCTACAACACTGCCATGAATCACCATTCAGCTGAAGGTTTTCTTTATAGGGGATAGTATTTTTTAATTTCAGTAACTTCACATAATTGGTTCTTTGTCAGGACGGTATTATAATACAAAATAGGTTTTCAACCATAATATATTTATCAACCATAGTATATTGTTAAATTATTGGGAGGACAGATTACGAAGCTAATGGAGAAGGTTTGGAAAAAGTGATGGTTGAGTCCCTCTTAAATGGCATATTTGTTTATGTATTACTTGGAACAGTTCATGAATTGTTTTCTGATATTTTTCAGTTTCTAAATTGTAACCCCCCTTCCTCCCTGGTTGTTAGGAGTCAGGTGGCCTCTAAATTTGACTAAATAAATAAAAGGAATTCTGGGAGTTGAAGTCCATGAGTCATAAAAGAGCCAAGGTTGCTTACCCCTGACCTAGGGGATACTGAGAGAAGTTGGGAATTTGATGTTTGTGCTATATATGACTTTCTACCTAAAAATAATGTGATATATATTAATAGCAAATGCAAGCTTATAGCAATCCTTGAAGAAAAAAATACGCTATTAGCATATTCGCACAACTATTGTGAAAGAACCACATTTCGTCTAATGAGAAAGAGTTTAGGTTTCCTTTTAAAAAATGGAGGTGGTATTACTTAAACCAGTGGTTCTTAACCTTTTTGAATTAATCGCCCCCTTGAGCCAATGAGGAAGTTGTCATCGCTCCCCTCCCCCAACATAACCTCTCAATCACAACATAGGAAATAATTCTTCAATTTATGCAAACACTTTTTTTGTTTTCTTTAAAATTGTCATCAGGACATATTGATGCAAATAATTTATTTCCAGTCTTTTTCCCATATCTCAACTGTTTGAAAAATTTTGGTGCCACCCGTCACTTTATTCCCAAACTTCGTGATACATGTATTTCATTATTATCTTATTTATTCAAGACACTTAAATGTAATGATAAGATAAGATAAGATATAAGATAAGATAAGATAACCTTTATTGTCATTTTTTTTTATTGAAAATTTTTAAATTTTTACAAAAACAAATCCCCTTCCCATACCCCCCCAACCCTACCTCACCCCCCTCCTCCCCAACCTCCCAAACCCTCCCCTGGACTTCCCAGAGCTAAGTACAGGCTTAATTGAGAAAAAAACTTAAAACACTTTTAAAACCTAAACAAATTTAAATACAATCATCATTCTATATAAACTCCCTCCAAAAACGCAAATTTAAACATTACTTTCTTTGAATATCTATGCCTATAATATAAAATCTAATTTCTCCCTCTTTCTTTATCCTAATACAAAAAAATAAACATATAAACCTTTGTTATACCATTAAAACTAAATACTCTTAGAAAACTTAAAGTAAATACATATTTCCTTCAGTCTTCATAATCTTCTCACCTATCCAAAAAAAAAAAAAAAACTTAAAAATCCTAAACAAATCTAGACACATTTAGTTAAACAAATTATTTTCTCTTAAAAATATTAATAATAATATTTAAAAACTTGAAACACTTTTGAATCCTAAACAAATCTAAATACAATCATCATTCTATATAGACTTCCTCCAAAAACACAGATTTAAACATTACTTTCTTTCCTAAACAAATCTATACATTTAATTAAACAAATTATTTTCTCTTAGAAATATTAATAATAATATTTAAAAACCAAATTTAAGCATTACTTGAAACTTAAACAAGTTATACTCCCTTCGAAACACAAATTTATTAGAATCCCCTCACTGAAATAAACAAATTATAATCCCTTCAAAACACAAGTTTAAACAATATTATCATTAAAGATTTAAAACTTAAAGCTGAAATATATTATTATCCCAAAACACATGTTTAGACATTACATAAGACATTTTCCAAAAACGATATAAGTTTTACTTCTCCCACAATCTCAATAGTAAACTTCTTGTCTAAAGTTCTCATTCAATGTCCATAATTTTCTGTCCAATAACCAGTTGCATCCACTATAAACACAAACTTCTTATCTAAAATTTTCATTCAATATCCATAATCTTCTGTCTAATAGCCAGTTGCATCTACTATAAGCACAATCCATATCAGTCTCTCTTGCCCGCAAGCATCGAAAAGAATGCGTGGAATTCTGCCCTTGAAGATCGCTCCAAAGAGTTTGTAAGTCCTGGTTGACCCACAAGCTCAGGAATCAGTACCTGTGAAACTTCCTCAACCTCCTTCTTCTGTTGGTCTTTCTCTTTACGTTTATATGTTACTTTTTCTTTACATTTATATGTTGCACAAGTCTCAGGGACCGATACCTGTAAAACTTCCTCAGTGAATTCCTCCTTGTGTTGATCTTCACAATTATAAGTTGTACAAGTTATCCTCTGCCCGTTCCTCTCTTGTTGGTGCCCCTCAAACTGAAATTTCCCAATTTCCATTTCTGAAAATTGCTCCAAAGACTTTGTAGGTCTAACTTCTCCCAGAAATTCAGAGACCTTCTTCTGTTGCTGCTTTTCTTTGCAATTGTATGCTACACAAGTTGTCTTCTGTTCCTCAACCTGGACTTGTTGGGACCTCTCAAACAAGGGTTCCCCAATTTTCATAAATATAGGCTCTTCAAACTGTAATTCTACATTCTTTTCTTCCAAAGCTTTAAACTTAATAGATGGCGATACACATACCCCCAGGACCGAGGTATAAAAATCTTTTGCTTGAGAAACAGTATTAAGTCTATAACATGTCCCCAGGTAGTTCACCACCATTCCAATCGGAACATCCCATCTGAATAAAATTTTTCTCTTTTTAAGTTCATTTGCTAGAAAAGCAAACTCCTTTCTTCTTCTTAAAATTTTAGATGGGATCTCCTTAAAAATTATAACATCTTGTGAAGCAATTTGAAATCTCTTCTTATAATAGGCTTGCACAATTTCATTGCGTAAAGATCTTTTACCAAAGTAAATTACCACATCTCTTGGCAGATTCTTCTGTGCTGCCACCACAGAGTTAACCCTAAATAATTTTTCAATTTCACTAAGTATTCCCTCTTTTTCTTTATTCAAAATCAATGCAAAGTCCTTTGCAACCATCTCTTTCAGATCTCCTTGCAAAGACTCTCCCAGGCCTCTGATTCTTAAGGCATATTCCATTTGTCCATATTGAAGCATAAGAATCTCATTTTCCATTTCTTTTTCCATACTTTCAATTTTCCCCTCCATTATATCCACTTTTTCAGCTACCTCTTCCACATGGGAGTTCACCTTTTCAAGAACAGAAGCAACTCCTTCTAAAGCCAGAACAAAATCTTGTCTCAAGATCTTATTATTTTCCTCTAAAATCTTTTTCATTTCTGCCCTAATTTGAATTATAACATCTCCCATCATGTCTTGCAAATCCTTCATAGTTATTAGCTGACCCCCAGAAGAGGGTGAAACTGTTGATTTAAAAGCTGTAGAAATACCTGGACGCTTTGGAGCCATCTTAGAGAAAAACCTTTAGTCCTTCTTAAAAAATTATAAAAATTCCTTCAAAAATCATAACTCCCTCCAAAGAAGGTCATTATAATAAAAAGAAAAAAGGGAAAAAAAAGAAGAGAAAAGGAATTAAAAAAAGCTTTACTCCTTCTTAAATTGCAAAAATTAAACAGAAAAAAATCCTTCAAAAAAGGGTCATTACAATAAAAAGAAGGGAGTTCAAAGAAAAAAAAAAGGGGGGGGAGAAGAAAAAAAAATAATTAAATAGAAAAAGTCCGTTCCAAAAAAAATACTTAGAAATACCAAAAACAACCATTCCAATCATAAGAAAATAAAAAGAGAAAGGGAAAGGAAAAAAAGAGAAACACCAAAAGGCCTGCCGGTCAGCATTCTAACTTCCAGAAAAAAAACACCGAAAGATTTGCCGATCGCCATTTTACTTTCCCTTTCAACAAAGAAAGAAAAATAAAAAGAGAGAATAAAAATAGAAACAAGTCTTAAAACTTAAAATCCGAATAAATCAAAGAAAGCAAAAACTAAATCCTCTACTCAGCTCTGTCCGTTTATAAAAAAAAGCACTCACCAGTTCTCCTTAAGCACGGAGGTGTTTGCAGCGGCTCGTTTTGTCCCTGAGGACAAAAACAGCTGGGAAGCGGAGACAAGTCTGAACTCCGTGGGAGCACTCCTTTCACCCCCCCCCCAAAAAAAACTTGGGGGTGCAAAAGAGGCTCTACCACTATTCAGACACTCTCTACCCCCCCCCCTTTGCCCGGGAGGGGGATTTTGAACCGCTGAACAGCTGGTGTCTGCTGTTCATAGCGGTTCTTACACTTACCCAGGAGAGACGGCTACAAAGTAGCCGCCATCGCGCGCGCAAAATCCACCGGAAGTCTATTGTCATTTTTATACTGTGGGCACAATGACACACATCAAAAATGAAATTTTTGCCCGCTCTCAAAGTGAAACACATACATGACACACATCTAAACATACTATGAACAACCTATGTATAGACCCACATCCCTACATATACATAGCAATAAATATTAAATATTGTCCATTTTGAATATATAAGGGAAGTAGGAAGCTTGAGAGTTCGCAAGGTTAATTCTGTATGGAATGAAACTGAAAAAAAAACAGTAATATTTAATGATTGAATTACAAGTGAAATTTAAAATGCAAAAAGAAATATAAAAAAGGTAGAGGCTGCTGCACAACGCACATGAAGATAAACAATGAATATTCACATATGTACAGCGTTCTGTACTGAAGCTAGCTGGAGGAACATTTGAAAACACAATTCAATCCACTAATAGCGAGCAATCTGATGTTTTTGTACGACAGATATGCAGCGATTCACTGTACGAAAAAGTCTCAAAAGTGTCCCCAAAACTTCTCGCTCCATCGCCCCCATATCGCCCCCTTTTCGTTCCTTCGCCCCCGCATCGCCCCTTTTTGTTCCATCGCCCCCCTGAAAAATGAAATCACCCCGGTTAAGAACCACTGACTTAAACTAACACTGGAAACAACTCTAAGGAAGACAGTCAAATGGAGGAAGAAGCCCAGTGTATGATAATAACTATCAGAATCAAGTGATATAGAAGGTGCTAAAACTCACTTTTCACATTTTTGAAGAAGATAAAACAAACTCTGAATATTGAGGGGAAGAATAAGAGGCACTTCATATTGGGAGATAGGATGGTAGTTCCTTAAAGGAGAGAAAGAATGTGGTTTTGTCCCATTAGAAAACAAAATGAAGAATCAAAACAATTGAGGATCAAAACTAATATATGCTGGCTGTAGCCATTGACTTGTCAAGTGTGCTGTCTGTGAAAATATAAAAGATATCACAGCAAATCCCAAGGATTATCAAGTCCACCGACAGTAATCTCTTCCTGCTAATATATGTGATGATAAATCATAATAATCTTTATTGATTAGCCCATGGACCATATCAAGGTGCAGAGTTCCAAACACACGTTATACTAAAAATGCAGTAAAAACAATTTAGAATGGAATTAGTTAAAATATAATTAGGATAAAATAAAAATAAAATACAATTTAAAATGAAATTGGGATAAAATACATTTTTAAAATGAAATTAGAATAAAATATGGCAATTTAAGATGTAGATAGATAAAATATGATAAAAAGATAAAATATGATAAAATTATATTTCACTATCACCCCTACAATCTACCCCAATCAGTCTCACATATGACGATCTCGATCAAACCATTTTGCTCAGGTACTCTGCTGTGTTAAATGTAATTTTCAAATTCTGGCCACACATAAGGTAAGTTATTTTGATATGGGGGTCCCAATGGGTCATTTGTTTAGCGTATAGGCCAAGGTACCTGTCTCTCACCCTCTTATACAGGCAGCAGTGAAATAGGATGTGAACCAGGTCCTCAATCTCTGCCGCTCCGCAGATGCAGAGATGTTCATTATAGGGTATAGAGTGTGTACTACTAACCTGGAATACAATAATTGAAGGGTAAAAAAAATCCATTCCCACTTAAAATAACCAGAAAAAAGAACAAAAATTATAAATACTCTTTTTGGTTTTTGCTACTGCCTGTGCAACCAAGAGGAAAACATGCATGACACCTTTCAAAAGCAAAACAGGCATGAATCTGTAGTGATGGGAGAGTTTAATTGCATCAACATCTATTGAGAGACATTGTTTTAGTGACAAATGGAGCTTCACTTATGCATGCGAGTGCCCGCCACTCATGCAAATGGAGCTGCGTGCCCAAGCGCATGTGCCTGCCGTTTGCGCAGCCTAGTTCCAAATGGGAACCCCTGTTTTAATAAGCCAAAAAGTATTTTTCCAGTTGATTATTTAGGATTTTTTTTCATTATATAATAATCTTTCTCGGTTTGAGGAGTGATCACTAATCACCCCCCTAAATCTGACATTTTGAAAAGATTTTTTTAAATTCATTTGTTGTTTTCTACTAAACCTTATTATGTGGTGGTTATTCCATTATCAAAGTAATAAAGGCAAAAACTAAATGCAGTTGTACTTAGCATTTAACTTTTTTTATCAGGACCAAAAGCACAACTAATGTTAAGATATCCAGATGGGAAGAGGGAACAGATTTCATTGCCTGAACAAGCTAAGCTTCTGGTATGTAGAAATAATTAAACATCAAGGTAGATACAGTTCTTGTTTTAGTACTTACCATTTCTCAGCTTTGTATATATGTATTAAATATGTATGCTTCAAGTTTGTTAAGCTCTAATTTTGATGAATCTAACAATATATGGGAACTATGATTGCATTTCAAGATTTGCTGTTTGGAAGTTAGTTTGTATTCTTGTTTATCTTATAGAATATTAAAAGTGAAAATAAAATTCAGATTTTAAAAAATGCAAAAAAATAAGATCATAAACAGTGTCCTACTATATCAGATCCTGGCCCATCTAATCTAGCAGTCTGTTCTCACAGTGGACAACCAACTTGCACAATGAAGCGCAGAAATTGGAGGCAGTTACATTAAGGCTAGTAGCCATTGATCCTCAAGACTTCCATGAATTGATCCAACCCTTTATGAAGTCAACCAAGCTGATAGCCAGTACCACATCTTGCAAAAATATAATAACCTTCATGCATGGACTATTTTGCATTTCTATTCAGCAGCGAAATACCAAGGTGATTTTTACTTTTTTAAAGTAAACAATAAAAACAACAATAAAAACAGGTGTACAAAGCTTCCCATTTTGGGTTGTAAATGTCCCACAGAATCCCTATGTTAACCCAAAACTTCAGTCCTTTCACTTCTGCCACCTGTCCCCATCACCACCACCACTACTACCTCACTTCAAAATTAGCAAGTAAAGCAGTAGACTTGCTGCAGAAAGATTGCTCAACCCCATTCCTGGATAGGAAGTATTAAAGGAATCTGTGAAGGAAAGATGAGGAATTTACATGTATGTGAAAACATGCTCATTTTGTATGAATCTCTATGGACAGTTGATGAAACTTCTTTATATTTGTAATCAGCCAAAGGACAGAAAGTATAAAAAAAGTCTGTAATTTATTTTGTTTCTCTCAAACTGTGCTTTCCACAGCGCCCTTCACATGGTGTACATAGATCCCAAATTATTGTCTAACTATAGTGATCATAAAGGGGAAGAATAAATTCAGACAATTTACTGAAATTATTTACAGAATAGAACTGTAGAGATTCATTTACTGATGTGCTGATTCACTAAAGTCTTTTGAAAATTATCCCAAATATATCATTTCATATTTCAAACAAAAAATCAACAAACAATTGTATGCAAACAACATTATAAACAGTACTTTTTCTATTGCTTAACTGAACACCCTTCAAGTCTTTCCCAATTTCTTTAACTTCATACAACTGTATGTATACAAATAGTTTGTGCTGATATATCCTCCAGTAACAAATACTGTATTGTTTTAATACCATGTGTTGTGTTCTGTGATCAAGATAGTGCTCTCCCCTATCTCCGCAGGCTCTCATCCGACATGTACAGTCAAAAGGATACCCCAATGAACGTTTTGAACTCCTCACCAACTTTCCCCGGAGGAAACTCTCCCATCTGGACTATAACATTACATTGCAGGAAGCTGGTCTTTGTCCACAAGAAACTGTATTTGTTCAGGAAAGGAATTAATTTTCTCCCTTGTCATCTTCACCTACAGTACTAACTAGTACATATGCAGAATCGAAAACAGGCAGCCATTTGCTGATTTCTCTTTCTTCCCATTCTGTATGCTATCCTCAGTAAGTGAACAAAATGAAAATGGCAGAAAAAGTTCATTTGGTATTGATGCTGGAAGAAAGCTTATGTGTTCAGTAGTTTGTTGCTGTTTCAAAATAAAGTTGCCTATACATCCAGCATGCTGCAGAAGAGAACACCAAGAGCAAGAATAATTTTCTTCCCCTGAGAAAAAGAAATCTTTTTCATTTTTCAAAAATCATATAACCAGTCATTAAGGAATTCTTCAGACAACCATGTCAATATATGCAATCTACCTACATGGAAGAGATTTTGTGTTTCCAATTGACATGTGCATTGTTTGGTTTTCAGCATGTGTTCTTTTTCCTTGGGTTCCACATGTTCTGAAATCAGAATGCTTCCTATATGGCTGCTGGTTGCATGTAATAAAATGTCACACATTTATTGTGCACAGGCTTTTTAGGAAAGAAGCATAGGTTTTAATGACTATGTGAAGAGATTTTGTGTTTTGGCTACAAGTCAAGAAAAAAACAAATGATGTGCTAGATTTATTGCCCAAGTAACCTTTCATAAATCATTGACTTTGCAAAAGGGACTGTAGAATGTGGTACATGAAAGTGTCTATTTTAAATTGATTTGTATGTACTGCTTTTGTTAGAGAGGAATGTCGTAATAAAGAAAAATAATAGATGTACTTAGTGGTATAAAGTTGCCTTGTGTAACCCAGAACTGCAGGCTTCCTCCTTTTCACAGTTAAAATTGTAGAAAGAGAATTGATTTCTCTTCTTTTCTTTTCTTTTTTTTTCCAAAATGTTACCAGCAGTGAAACATTCATAGAGATTAAATATAAAACATATAAAACATCTTCTTAAGGTTTTCGTTCACTACTCTGCCATTTGGATGTTTTTCCCACTGACATTTAGTGAACGCGCACAGATTCTGGGCTCCAAGCAAGCATTTTTTTCAGTAATTTTAAAAAATTTTGATGAACAATTTGATGAATTTAATTAAGTTAATAAAATTCAATTAAAGTACAAACCAGTAAACATGGTTTCCCAACAATAAATACGGTTTGAAAAAAACAAAGAAATAGCTGCTTGCCATCATTTGTTCTAAACGGCCAAAAAATTATAGATGTGCTCCAGATTTTATACAATGGCAGCTGAGTGTTGGATCATTTTGGATATGGTAATATTTGGTGTTAAACTGTAGTAGGAAGGGTTGTATTGCCATTACATTTTATTGATCCATGTATGTGAATTTAAGGATTAAAGATACTTATACTGCATTGTAGAATGAAAACATTTCCCTGCTTAGTTTTTTTTCCTGTACAGATACTAGTAACAGATATAAGACAAATGTAACATGGATTAATAAGTGTTTTATACATAGGCCACAATTGCTTTTATGTTCAAAACCATGCAGCTATTGTGTTCCTAAATTAATGGAGACCCAGCAATATACTCAGTAACAAATCTAGCTTTAAATATAAAATGTTTTTTAAAATTGATGCCTACAAACATTTGAGACATACGTAAAAAGAACAGTGAAGGTTGATGCTCTAGTTAGTATTATCTGTTAAAATTTATCTAGACTATTCGTATCAAATATTGTCTACTGTTGCTCTAACTTTTTTTTTAACCATCTTTCACACTTTATTTTTCCTTCAATTTTCTTGTGACCTTTCCTTCTGTCTTACCTTTCAGAAATCTTTTAAAGTTCTTGATCTGCTCTAAAAAGCTATTCCTATCTGTATATGAGCTGTGTGATGTTTCATCCAAACTAATAACTTGTTTACTCATAAATTTATTATATACAGAAATCTGGAAATGTTTGTAAAAGTTCCATATGCTTGGATAGGCTCAGGTGTCAGTAGCTATCCTACAAAAGTTCAGAATAAGATCTGCATTTTCTACCATATTTAAAGAAAATTTTTAAAAGCCTTTAATCAGTTTGTTAAACTCCTTAGCAGTTTATAAACTACTGGAAGAATGGCAGTGGTAATCGCCACAAGTCATTAAACTTTATTTTTTAAATCTTCCAACACAAATATAATGTTTTCCTTGTTCAGTAGTTTATACCAATTTAACCCAGCTCCTATCCCACCCCAAATCCATGTAGGTATCAATTAGTAAATTATATCAGGGCCTTTTATTCCCCACTGCTGAGCATAAGGATGTAACAATATGCCAGATGAGCTTTTCTGGAGAAGGATTTCTACAGTTACTATAAAAAAAGACACCTTTGGATTTACCTTGTCCTGCACCTAATCATAAACATATGGATCACTTTCTTTCACTCTTGTTTTATTACAGCAGCAAAAGTAGATCTGATCTTTTCTCAGAATTTCTTGCACTTAATGTTGGCATTGCCTTTAAATGGAAAGTGCTTTCATTCATATTCGGAGCAGTTCTCAAAATACCCTGAAATTGTACCAGTTATTTTGGTAGCACATTATTGATCATTAAAGGTCAGATTTCATACCCGCTGTTGTCCATGAGGCAAACAGAATATTGCATATGCTTAGTACCAGGGGAAAATGTACCCTGGAAATTGCAGCCTGTTCTCTTGTGTGATTTGCTATTTTTGCCTTGCTTTGTCTTGCTAACTGCAAGCTTTAGCCAGCCTCCACTTCCCCTGAATATGGACCCTGACTACCCAAAGGTTGCCCAATGCAGATAATAAAGGCCCTCCTATAATACAACCCACAAGATTTCTGGCCTAGTACTGTTGAGTATGCTAGAGATTAGGTAAGCAGCAAACTTGTTTCTACATGTCCACTACTTCCCTTAACAAAATCTATAAAAAAGTGTGAATGGCATGTTTGGAGTGGAGCTGATTCAAGCACAGAAACCAGGATAACTGCAAAAATTTTCATTTAATCAACATTTAGTTAATTTTTTATAACTTTATCTTACATATCTTCCATTTATTGATTTTTATTCTTATCCTTAAAATAGTCTGGAAGTTGAATCATGGCAACTGGATTTCTTTTTGGTTGAAACCTTTCGCTGCTCATCCAAGTAGTTTCTTCAGCCAGAAGAAAAATAATTTAGCAAAATATCCTTAAAAGATTTAGATGAGTACCTGAAGGCCTTATGTATGGTGGTTCTAAGATATTCTGAGAAGGAGAGAACTGTAGAAAGTGTCTTCCAAGCGGAAAAGCAGCACATAAATCTTAAATTAGGAACAAAATTATTATAATTGGATAATTTAAAAGTTATTGTTACTAACATTTTTACAAGTTTTTGTTTTAAAGCTTACTGTTCAAGGAATATGGATATGAATTATGTAAAAGATGTTGTGAATCCATGCCTGATTCTAGATTGTCCTCTGTTGTTTCTAGACCTAAACATCATTCTATCTTATGTAAAATAATTTTTATATTGTTATTTCTAGAGACAATTTTTAGCAAAAAAAATGAATAGAACCTATTGGGGGTTCTAGTATTTCAATCCTATTTTAATTTGCTATTGAAGCAGATTAGTGGTCACAGAGAACTTTGAAAGGATCTTTGGAGGACTAGCACTCCCCCCCCCCCCGCACACAAAACTAAACAACAACGCATTGCTGGCAGTTGGAGTTTAGGGAGTGTCTAATGCAATCAATTGATAAACAACAATAATGTTTGATATTGACAAGCCTACCATCTGCAAAATCATTTGAGATTACCTCTTCATTGGCATTTTTTCACTTTTAAATATGTGGCATTGTTGCTGGTGTAATATTAGAAGGTGAATTCAAAAGGCATTCCAAAATTTTAAAATGAAAGTTTTATCTGTTTGGAGAAATTGAGATATTAGTATTATCAATATTTAAGTTTGAAGGATGTGATTTGGATTCTGATAAAATTATGATTCCTTCAAAATCCATTAACTTTTTAAAGTTGGATTGCTAGCTTTATATTGTTATAACTTGAGCTATGTAAAACTGTTGTCTACACTGTTAATAGCCATTTCTTTTAATTATGATATAATTTTAAGATGGGGGAAGAGATTTCACGTGCTGTGATGAGAACGATCAAACTCAAGGCAACCTCTGATCTATATGTACAACTGCTGCATTTTTATAAATATGTGTAAATGTCCTTCCTAATGTAATATTTTGATCCTGAAAATAAATCAGACATTTTCACTATTTAGTCTGTTTGGTGTGTGTGGAATGGGGGATAGAGAAGGGAGGGAGGAGGGAGGGAGGGAAGGAAGGAAGGAAGACTTTGCAGTGGAGGAGGAGGTTTGTTGAAAATAAAATCAGGATATTACACAAAATCAAATCTCTTCTACACCTTAGACTAAGAAATAGTTGTGATTTCAGCACAGCGTCTTAAGGTGTTTTTTTTAACCAGATGCTAGTAAGTATATAATTAGTAAGTGCATATGCCAAATAAATGTTCTATGATTCTATTCACTTGGTTACTTTTAGATATCAAAACTTAAAATCTATGTAGCATAAGCATTTCACCTATGCTAATTCATAATTGTCCCAGAATTGGAAAAAAGCTATTCTGAGAGCAGATAGTTCACCATCTGTAATTCTTGATAGGATTATTTTTACAGTAGCATTTGCCCTATTAACAAAATTTAGCAAAATCTTTTTTAAGAGAGATGTAGGGCAAAGGAGCACTAAAATTCAAACCAACGTGAAACGCACAATGTATCCTAGACTTCTCTCTTAATCCTCTGGTGCAGGTAGGTTACTACAAAAGTAAAAATCGGGCTCAGAGTAAAGGGTAATTTCATTGTGCCATACTTGTATGTGAGAATGGTACATAACAAATAAGCCAATCCAAAATTGAATCTGTTATGTATCACTCATTAATCATTTTGGTTTGAAAGTTAAATGTTCAGATTTTCCTATCATACAAGCTTTAAATTTGCTAATGAGATTTGAAGAGTCATCATGAATACTAAAACTGTAACAGATTCAAAGACTAATTGTAATTTTTGCGCAATATTTACAAGATTTATTATGTCAGCAGACTCTGTGAAGAAGAACAAAAAATAGTTACCACCCATTACTTTTCCAGAAACAGCTCATTTATATAATTTTTTTGGTCACATAAAACCTGTTGCTCATACTTTATAGAGCCTCCAAATTCCCAGCCGCTGGGAATTAACTACATTGAGTGTTGCATTGTGGAAGGCTGAATTAATTCATCAGCAATAGCTCAATGAAAGAATTTTCAAGCTCTGAATCAAATTTTCAAGCTCTGAATTATAGACTCTGAAAGAAAATATACTATGGAAGAAATTTTTACAAAGTGGATTTCTTTTACTTCTAGTGAAGCAGGAAGGAATAGTTTTGTGAACTCTTTGTTGAATATTAGTGGTTAGATTAGGAAAAAGAGTTGTTTGGGAGGCAATTATGGCCTATTAGCAGCTAAGAGACCAAAAGCCAACTTCTCTGAGTTGGATAGGTTCCAAGTGTGTAGGCTTCTAGAACTTTAACCAATAGATAAACCAATAGATTATCCTTAACATGATATGAAGGGGAATTGAATATCTCTAAGTAAAGATTCTTATAGCTTATATATTGCCATTTTATTTTCAAGGAAACAGCTGATCTGAAGCAATCTTGAGTAAAGCGATTAAATGAAGCATTAGGCAATTGCAACATTTTCCAATTTAATAACTTTATTATCAAGCTTTCTCTTCCTCATGTTAAAATACATAGTGTGTCTGGGTGGGTTGAAACTTTTGCAGGAATATCAGCTGTATTAAGATCATTGGTGTGTGTACAAGCATGTGCATAGATCCAGGTACATAAGTTTGGGGTGAAAAAGCATCCCCACAACTGAAACAAAGGACACCTTCATAAGAAAGGACTTCCCTCTGTAAGGTGAAAAGCAATTATCTTTCATTAGCTACAATTTTATTTTTCAAATTCATACTGGGAGGTAGCTTATAATTACTATTATATAAATCCAGAAAATTGCATAAAATAAACCTTGATTCAGTTATCCTTGGTTAAGTTTATTGTACAAGTACAATTTCTGAATCAGACTATTGATTGGTCTGGAGAGTGGAGTCAAGTGTAGGAGAGATTCCAAGTGTGTTCTAGTATTTCTCATGATACTTTATTAACAAAAATAAAGAATTCACAGCATACACTTTATACCTTTTAGTCCAGGAGTAATCCCTAATTAGTTTACATAATCTTACTCCCAGGGGACTACACAAAATTGTAACCTCTGTTTTCATGAAAGAGCCACTGTCATGATCAGTTAGGCCTCAATAAAAGCTGATAGTCTTAAGTACTATCAAATAGTACTAGACCAGTGGTTCTCAACCTGTGGGTCGGGACCCCATTTGGGGTCGAACGACCATTTCATGGGGGTCACCAAACAACGCAGTCCACCATTTTTTCCCCCTTTTCCTTAGCTGTGCTACTCCCTTTTATTCTATTGGCTTTTGAAAGCCAATAGAATAGACTCTCTTGAATAGAGTCTAATTCTATTGGCTTTCAAAAGCCAATAGGAATTGTCCAGGCTGTCTCTGCCCTGCTGAGCCCGCCAAAAGTCCCATTCTGCAAACGGTGCTGCAAGTTGTCTGCAGCGAAGGCGAGCTGTCTGGAAGTTTCCACCCCTCCCTGCTGAGCAACTACTAAAAATGTAAGTAAAAGAGGGCCAGGGGTGGGAGGTGGGAGGCCGGTGGGCGCAGGGAGGGTTGCTGGTGCGCGTGGGGCCCGGCACGTCCTTACCTCCCTTGGGCTGGGCCAGCTGTTGGCCCAGCCGGTGGTTGGCCTGTGCCGTCTCTGCCGCTTGCCAGCTACGCCTCGGCCGGCGCAGGGGGCGGCACCACGCATGCGCGGCACTCCCAGGCAGGGAAAGTCCTCGACTTACAACCAGTTGGGTAGTCCTCAACTTACAACCAGTTGGGTAATCCTCGACTTACAACCAGTTGGGGGTCGCGGCATTAAAAAGGTTTAGAACCACTGTACTAGACTCTTTATAACGTAGTTGCAACAGAACAATATAGCTACTCCCATAGAATCAGCAATTATATTTTTAAGTATATGATGTGTTGCAAGAATGTTGCATGTGAGTTCCTATGCATATGCCAGTTCCTCACAGAAGCTTTCAAAGTTTATTACTCATTTCCGTCCAAGGATTTTTTTTTCTCATAGAATTACATTAAGTTTCCATAATGGGGAGATACAACATGTGATCGTTGTGTAAAAATTGGGAAGTACAAACCTAACCATCTAGGGATAAAGAAAAGCAGGGGTACCGATGTTTTCCTGTACTCCAAAGGCTATAAATAGTCATCAATTTTTGCTGCCTTATCTAGAAAACTCTATCATCTCTAGCAATACTGGCAGCAACCATTTGTGGGAAGAAGTTCTAAGCGGCCCTACAACTCCTTTCATCTGCATTCAGTTCATCAAAAGTAAGTAGAAAACTTCTGAAAAACGAATTCTCAAAGTTCTGATTAATTTGTTTTGGGGCAAAGGAAATAGAAAAACTTCTACATAGAAAACCTAAACTGCATTTTAGCAGTGGTTTGCTTTGTCATTTCCCTCCCTAAGGAGGTTCAAGATTTTTATAGGCTAATTCAAAATATTGTAATTTTGAAGTGCTGCATTGCTATGCAGGATCCAGACTTTATTCCCAAGCACTGCACTTCGATAGGGGAATACTTTGCTATTGGGAGCATTGGAATATTGTTTTATCCCTTTAAATAATAGTTAAAGTAGCATAGGAGTTATAGTAAGCAATGCCATTCTATAAAGGAAGGACTTGCTTATCCATTTCAAGGTAAGTGAGCAAAATCAAAGAAGTTGTTTACTACCACCTATCCCCTGTTTATAACACAGTCCTTTCAGTGTTCCAAGAAGGTTCCACACCCATTTGCACTATTCAGGTGACCCTGAGGGCACAGATAACTCTCCAAGTGGCATTGGAATGAATGCTAATGACCAGATGATGCAAGGAACATAAATCCTTCCACCCTCCACCATTCAATCAGAACTGAAGAAGCTTCTTGGGTGAGAAGTGAAATGTATTCAAGGAAAAACCAAGTCTAGTTGCCTTTTGAAATACACCTTTGGGACAACCATTACCTGGATGACTGAGAATCTCCATAGACAATATGATTAGTTGATTCACTGTGTCCATATTGTTAATGATTGGGTCAAACTATGGAACAGAAATCCGTAAGAAAGATGATTGGAAATGTTTGGGACACTGTCTGTCCAATATTGTTTGTTGATGTTGGGCAAAATAAAGTGCTTCTTTGTTAACTCTTTACCAATTGTTCGACATCTTGTATTTCTTCCTGGCTTGGAAGCAAACCATCTGAGGAGGACCAGTGTTTTTCTCTTAATAGAACATACAAGTACCTATATTGCTGACTGCAGAGATTAGTATTACTTTGAATGTTTGTTGCATGAATGGCTGAGGAATATCCTTACCAATTGTCTTTTCTAATGTAGATTACTCTTAAGTTGTCAACTCCAGATGTATTGGGACAATGACTGTTGTTTTGTGGGTACCCTGAGATGTAGTTTTGTTGTCAATACTTGTGTTCTGTTTTATTGTTATGCTGTGAGCTATCTGAGGTTATTGCATATAAGCCTCATAAATGAATAAATGCTGTAAGGCCATCCTGCTGGCAATTCTGGTAGAACTTCTAATCATTTCGAATACAGCTGAAAGGCAGAAAATAGGGACAGTAACATAACTCCCAGTTGCATGTCCAGTGTACCGCACCACTAGTGAAAATGTGATAGATTCTGCTATATATCCATACAATTTTAGATTAAAGTTCAGGAAAAAAACTTTGTAGTTCATCTGGTTTATGAACAGCCTCCAGAAAGGGATTCAAATTTTAGACAGTGTATATTTTCCTATTTTATGAAGTTTTTTGTGTAAATTAAAAGTCCTACATGTTTGTTTCTTTCTCAGATATTTTAGTCCATCCTTAACTTTGATGTATGAACTTGACTTTAGCACTATGGATGTAATTTAATGTAATGTAAACTGGCTTTACTGATTTGAATTGTGTTGATGGGGGAAGGGAGTGAAAATGTAACCTGCTATGATTTTATCTTATTAGAAATAATACGTAAGTGCTTCTTGCTGCAGTTTTGTGAGTTATGGAAATTAATTCATATCAAAAGAAAACATTTAGAGCAGCTTTTCCAGCTGTGAGCCCTTCATATATCTTTAAATTTAGGGCTATGATAATTGGCCTGCAGAATTCTGAACAAAAGCTAGATTGCAGCAAAGAGAAACAGAAACTAATTCTGGTGCTCTTCAACTGACTGGATTTTTGCAGCCTAGTTCTGAAAGCATTAACAAAGATGTATCCATGTATCCAAACCTATGCAGATAATGGAAGCCTATGAAAAGCCTCATCTTATTTCAGTTGATATTTTCAGTGTACAATTGATCTTCTGCTGACAGTACTAAGCAAGCTTCAAAGGAATTTAGAGAAGGTGCTCTGTATGGAGGCAAAAAGTTGCTATGTTCTGGTATAAATTAGTGCAAGCAGAATAGGTTAGGAAGCTTGAGTACTGCCAGTAAGCAGCCGTGTTAACAGTTTGGGAGGTGCAGTTTAGATCAGAAACATAGCATAGGCAGGCAGGATCTTGAATTATCACTGTCCTCACCCCCAGTCAGCATGCTTGCTACTCTAGAATTCAAGCTGTTGAAGACAAGGAGGGGAGGTTATCATTTTATTCGTGGTTTCATTTTTTTTTTCCAGGACTCTCTTCTGCAATGTGTGTGGGGACTTGTACTCGGATCCTGGGCCCATGCCTCCTTATCTTAGGCTTTCTTTCCATTACTGCTAATATTCTCCTACTCTTTCCCAATTGGGAATGGTGTTACTTAAGCCTGGGTCAAATATCCAACAGGGCAATGCTAATGCCAGGAGTGTGGGGAGGAGGCCTGCTGGTAAGTAGACTATTTTTTAATATATCCTGGCCAAGAATCTGTGGGAAATAATGAATGCATATTATTGTGCATATACATATATATACTTTATTTTTTTTTCTTTCTATTTGTTGGGTGGTACATTTGGATAAAACAACAAGCCAGGGTTTATACATTTGCTGATATAATCTGAATTCACACTTTATGTTAAGACATGGTTTATTTGCATGTTTGTCTTTTGGTTCCTTTGAGTCCGTATTGGTTCTGGTGACTCCCTGGACAGGTCCCTGCAGTTTTCTGCAAGTCTGAAAGTATAAATCTCCACTGTCCCTTTTAACTGCCTGTTTAGTTAGAGCATATCCTTTCTAAATTTCTTTCTCTGCCCGTTGTTCAATTGTGGGTTCCTCCCCCCTTTCTCTGATCATTTCCTAGGCAGCATCTCTTCCCCTTTCCATTTTCCAAGGCCTCACATTCCATAACAAAGAGAGAGAGGGGAACTGGCCAAAGGTCACCCAATTCTCTTTGTGCCAAAAGTAGGCCTATAGTTCATAGTCTCCCAATTTTTAAGCTGGTGCCTTAATCACTACACCAAATTAGCTCTCATAGTTTGTTCAAATATGATTTAAACATGTTTAACCATGATTTTATCAACCAAACCATAATTGGCTGAGCTCAACATACTAAGAAGCTACAGTTTACAATGACATAATACACTAAATCCAAACCATATTAAATTATAGTTTAGTGCAATGTGTAAACTCATTAAATATGAGTCATTGATTGCTGTTGTATCTCTGATAACCATCTATCCAGCAATTGCTTCATAACCTGTAAAGAAGAAAAGTTCACTATCCTATTGCTATCTATGCTACTGTAGTCTACTCCCATAGTCAGGAAATTTTTCTGTGTATTTAGTTGAAATGTTGCCTTTTCAAACTGTCAGTTAACTTTCTACTCTTTGAGCCATAGCAAAAGGAAGGGCGTATTAGTTAAGTTTACTATATTGACTCACACCCAGCCCTTCACTCCACAAATCTTGGAAACAGCTCATCTTTATTCACACATTTTGAGTAATACCATATCAGGGACCCATAATTCCCTATGAGGGCTTGATTGTCAATCCCTCCTGTAAAGCTTTTAAGCTTCCCTTACTTCCACAAAAAGTGTACCAACAGCTTAGTGAAGTGAAACAATTTTAGTATATTAAAGTTAGTTCTGCTCATCGTAACTCTAAGAATTCACATCTATTTTATAAACACATCTATTTTATAATTTTATAAATTCTATATCAGAAATATTTTGCACTGGATTAAGCCAGCCTTATCTGAGCTGCAAAAATCTGGGCAATTGGACAATGTCAGCAAACAGTTTGAGTTTGCTGCCATCAGATAGCCATCTGGATTTCTGCAGTTCAAAATTGGGAAGGTACTGTATACATTAGATACTAGTGACTTATAATTGTGAATCCTCTTGTAGCCATCTTTTCTTCCTTTTTGTTTTATTTTGCAAAATATTGTAAAGTTTCTTCAATTTCTGTGTAAAACGTAAACATTTCTATCAGAGCCTAGAAATGGACAAGGGTTTAGATTATTCTTAAAATGCTTGTTCTAACCAAGCATATTAAGTATCGCCACCCTATCATCATAGGACTAGGCACCTCTGTCTTAGAAAAGATATGTAGATCTAAGAGGTAGTAACGCTGTTGGACTTAGACTGGGGAGACCCATGTAGGACTATATTCAGTCCTGGATGCTCATGCACTAATTTTGAGCTAGTCACAAACCTCTAGCTTATCCCACTCACAGAGTTCTTTCTACTGAAATTAAAATGGAAGCGGGTCTACTATGTTTGGCTCCAGGAAAAGGAAAAGGAACAAGTGAGTAATTAATATAAGAGTAATAATAAGGGAGAATACTGCTCATTTCCAACTATTTCCTTGCAGATTTTTCCTGCTGCAATTCAGATCACAGGTATTGGATGGAGGTGGAAGTACTTCAGCAGCTCAGGAACTTGCTGTAAGGTAAGAGAGATGTAGTTGATAACTCTTTCTGTGGATGAAAACTTTCCAGTTTTAATGAGTAGATCTTTGCAGAATTTCTCATTCTATGTCAGGAATAATTCAAGATTTCCATAGTTGAAAAAAGCAACAGAAAAAACTTAAATGGTTACACCCTCAGAGAAAAGAAGCATCCTAAGAATAATATTGTCTGTTTTGTTTTCATTAGCCTTGTTCTAGATTCATGGATGTGATAGAATTGTAAAATATAGCACATCTATTCCATTTCATGATACTGTGAAGCTATATCTTGCAACAACTACAGTATATAAGTCAGAGTTTATGCATTTGTATTTTGCATATCCCACAAGGTATCAAGGATGGTAAATATAGAAGGAGGTTGCCTGATTTTAGCTTCATAATGTATCTATGAGAGTGATTAGGCTGAGAGAGAACAATTGCCTGAACTTCATGGATTATCCATTACACCTGAGTGAAAATTAGACTGGTTTAATTAGACTCTGGCCAATTTTGCCTTTCCTACTGCTCTACACAAAGTCCTTAGTTTTCAATTGGAAGTTGTTCGCAAAGTTTTGTTCCTTTTTGGTTTCTTAAAAATTAAGAGGTTAGATGGGAAAGCTTAACTCCTAGAAAATAAAAAGAATCCTGAACAAAACTCCACAAGGACACATCCTCTAATATTGGGTTATTTGTTCCAATTATCTGCAGTTGCTCTGGTTGTACCACTAGTAAAGGAACGATGATGATGATGATGATGATGATGATGATGATGATGATGATGTTATCTGTTCAGTTGAATCTGACTCTTGGCAATTCTGTGGGCTAGGTCTCTCCCACATCTTCTGACCTTGCACTATTTCTTTGAGTTTTTCTATGCTTTGGCTGGTGTCAGCTTTGATGGTGTCCGGCCACTGTGTTCTTTGATCGCCTGTTTTCCTTTTACCGCTAACTCTTCCAAACATAACTGCTTTCTCCAGTGAATTCCCCAAGATGACATGGCCAAAATAAGTGAGAGGCAGTAGTAAAGGAAGGCAGGATCCCAATCTTTATCAGTGCCCTTTTTTTTCAGTCTTGGAGAAGACATGACCTAGGAGCCTTTATTTAAATCCTAAATTAGGAGTGAACATTTCCATCATGACAAAGCTGTGAGGGTATGCCTATAACCCACATACATTCATCCCCTTTCCACCCCATCATTTTCCATAAAAATCTGTTTCTGCTTACTGTTCTCTTCAAACTGTCTTAATTTTGGCAGTATAAATAAAGGAGAATATTATTTTTATTTGCTCTTGTTAAAGAACTGAAGGCTGAAATCCATAATACTGTAAAATCATAGAGCTGAAAGGGGCCATCTTTGTGATCAAATCCAGTCCGCAATTCAGCAGAAGAATCGAAAGCTGAGCATCCCCACAAGTGGTTGTCCACCCTCTACTAGAGTATATCCAAGGAAAGGAGCCTGATGCTATCCTCAGTAATTGGTTCCATTGCTAAAAGTCTCTTGCTGTTAGGGGAGGGTTTTTTTTATTTTGAATTGGAATCTACAACATTCTGTAACTGTTTCCTATATTCCTACTGTAATTCATATATAAATCTGTACAATATAGTACATTCTCCGTTCTGCTCCACTGTCAGGATGAGTTGAAGCTGGGAGAAAATGGCATCTGAAATGCAACAGATGTCATATTTGTTTGTTTTTTCAAATGTTTCAGAGCCAGTTTCCATTTTATTGCTTTACAGTTATGAGGAGAATAGATATTATGTTGTATATGTGAAGTTAATTGCAGTGCCTCTTTTGCCTGCAGATGTTCCTTTCCATTCTGCTATCAGGATTGGCCCTCCTGGGATCAGCAGCTTGTTTTATTCTGTCTGGTTCAGGCCTGACAGAGGGGCCCCTATGTCTCTATAATTCCACCCACAATGATAATAAGATGCAACAATGGGGCTATCCGTTTCTTGAAATGGACTACCATGTCTTCAACAATGGGTAAGATGACAGAGGTTTATGGACCAGCTTATAATATTGCTTAGCACATATTGTTTGAGATACAATTTTGCTTAAATAATTCAAACTTGCAGATAACTTTCAGATAGGTTCAGAAAACCATTCCTTTAAAAAATGTGATTTGTGTGGTAACATTTCGGCATATAGTTGCCTGAAGAGACAGAATAACTATATATGAACTCAAGTTTTCAGATAAAACTCTCTCTATATAAAGTTTGGCATTAGAAATGGATTGTGCTTTTTATTGAAAATGAGTGACAAATATTTAAATAGAAGATTTGTATGGGACAGCCAAGTTCAATCTATCACTATCCTGAGGTTTTAGAATTTAGCATTCCCAAAAGTTTTAGGCATACTAGTGGTATTCTTGAAGTGGTAATCATGATACAGCTGGGGGATACAAGTGGGGAAAAGGCCGAGGTGGAGGGTCAGTTGAACTAGAATATGGAAAAAAGAAAAAGGTTTTAAGAGCATTTAAAAGTACCTTCAATAAAGACAGTGAATCAGTGCTATTATTATTATTATATTTGGTTAAAATTTATTGTCCCAAGCCTACTAAGTCAATGCAGAGATATCTTTGAGGCAATGCAATTAGGAAGGAACAGATTAGATGACAATAGAAGTAGTCATGGTGCTGGATAGTTAGTAGGCTAGTGAAGTTTTAGTTATTTTACAACTGTATACAGAATAAAATACTCTTAATTGAGGACTCCCCTCGTAACTCTGCTTTGGAAAAAAAAATTCTACAACTTACTGAAAATCTGCTTCTTTTAAGGGCTCAGAATTACCTGTATGATCCTTCCCTTTGGAATTCAGTTTGCATCAAGCCACAGAATATTGTTGGCTGGAATGTGTATTTCTTCTCCTCCCTCCTAGTCATCAGTATGGTTGAAATGATCCTGGCTGCTCTCCAAATTATCAATGGCTGTTTTGGATGTGTCTGTGGCTTATGTGAACAGAAGAAATAGGCAACATGGTTTCGGAAATGTTTTTAACCCTCAGTTCATAGCTGGTTCTTGCATTGTCATGTAAAAATAGAGATGAAGTTGACCCAACAGTGACTCCTGCCCCCATCACCAACCCACCAGTGTATCTTTGTCTCCCACAGAACTCATCTGTAAGCAGTCACTTTCAGGACATATACACTGAAACTGCTGTCATTATAGACATTGTCACAGAGTTAGAGAGCTAAGAAGTTGATTTTGATAAGTAAGTAATATTGTACTGTGATGCGTATTTATACACATATTTATTGTGTTTCTGTTTACAAGAAACCCTTAACTGTTATATGTAATCCTCTTGTTTATGTGAGTGAATGCAACATAAGCCAGAAAGTACTGTAATTTTTCTGAGATAGAGATACAGTATAAACAGGCCTGAATAGAAAATGCTCGCTCCAAATTAAAGTTAAGGCAGATCCCCTGACTTTAGGGGTCTACTTCACAAGTCATCCCCAACTTCTAGAAGACCAAAACCTGGGAAACAGCTTTGGCCTGAAGTTGAGGTTGAAATATCTGAAAGCTGCCAGGGATGAGAAATACTGGCCTACACTACGTGGTCCTGGATTTCAGCCACTCAAAGTTATGTATATGAGATGGGTGGCTGCATAAATGTAACAATCTTTCCCCTAGAAGAGTAAATTGAGAAGAATGTTATTATTTTCAAGAGAGAACACTACTTAGAGCTGTGTCAAAAGGCAATTGTTCGCATTATGATCAGACTTTGTTTTTATCTCCATAATAGCTGGTCTTATTAATGGAAACTGCTGAAACCTATGTGCTTAAATATCAAATAAAGATATTTATTTTTCCAATATCTCTTCAAAAATAATTTCCTCCTTAAGCAAGTGTGTGATTCAAACTTCTCCAGGTGCATCTGCATTATTCAGTATCAATGCTGCTCATTCATTATTTATATTTAAGAAGCCAGAAACCATTACTTATCTTGAGTAGATAATTGTTAAATGTTTCTTTTCTTTTAAAAATATCCTTGTTAATTGTACCAAAATCCTTTCAAGGAGGAACTTTATTTCAGGCAGAGAAATATGTAGAGGGGAACAATTAGCAAGACCAATAGCAAATGATTTATATTTGGAAGAAATAACTATACTCAGACCCCGAAGAGAAGACAAGCAGGAAATACATATCTACATATAACTTGTACAAATAAATAAAGAAGGAAAGCACGTAGAGGTGGGGAGATGGTAGAGTTTAACCAGGTTTGGGTAGCACACCATCCTGTTGCAGTCACTCTAGGAGAACTCTACATCAGCTGTTCTCATTCCTATGGGGCATTTACTCTAATTCCCCTTCTTGGAATAGCCATACAGCAGAAGGTGTAGCCCTAAAGCTCTCACTTGCTTTCCATTCTGGAAGTGGGAGAGTATGAGGTGGTAATGGATGGGATTGCACCTCTTTCTTTCGCTCCAAACAACTTGGAAGGAAATGATGAGAAAGGGAGCATCAGTCCTCTTCCTTTCCCCAAGTCACCTAATCTCAGAGAGTCCTGCTCCCCCCAGTTCTGGTCACCCAAATAGGAACCCTGCTGCTATTCTGCAGAAATCATTCCAATTTTGGATTTCATGAGCTGGATCTATAGCAAAAACCACCTCAAAATGGTACACAGGGATGAAATGGAAAGCCAAAGTTACACTATATTGCGGTAAGTTTCCCACTTAGCACTAGAGATACCAACCTTATGGCCTTTTGATGAGGTCAATATTTTCTAACCTAAACAACATACTTCCAAAGAAAAGACCAGCTGTGTCAGAGCGGAACTTCATTTCTTTGGTCATGATGGTCCAGAGTCCTTCAGTCAGAGGGAAGGGGCAGCACTATAGTCAGAGGGGCAAGTGGAACTCAGTAGATCAGCCACTTCCGGAGATTCTTCTTCGGTGCCTGCTTAGAAAGTTCAGATGGGAGGTGTCCTGTATTCCAGAAGGGGAAAAAAGCAGCTTTCCAAATTGCACATCTTGATTAGGTTCAGCTGCCCTAGAAGACTGTAAATGTGGTGAGAGCTCTGTTGTAAAGATATATGCCTACCGTAACATTAATGAGAATCTGTGGGCTGGGCAAGGAGCCCACAAATACTGACCTTCAAGGGACTTCCAGTTTGCTATCGGTGCCTTCAGACACATGGAGAAGAACTCCGTCTTCAGCATCCGATTTTATCCCACTGGGGGCCCCTGGAAAGGGTCGAAAGTCACCCTGTAGGGGTGACAAGTGAGGACCAGATCCCCGCTTGATCGCAAGAGAGCGGCAGCCCTTTCGCTTGATCGAGGGCAGCTCTCCAAACCGGCGGGGGAAAGACTGGCCATAGCAATATGGCTCGTCATTAAGCTGCTGACAGCCGAAGTCAAAATTACTACCAAGCACCTTTAAAGCAACACTGATGAAACTGGGTGAGATCTGATCTTCTCTTTAAGACTCTAAATATCTTTCCTGCAAAAGCTGCCCTAAGCATTCTTTCCCCTGGGAGGAGAGAGGGAAAGGAATTCCTGCCCCACCCTCTAAGAACAGCGGCGACTGACTACCCAGGGGAAACAAAGCAATTATAAAAACAACTTTAATCTAATTAGATGCATATACTTTTGAAATTCAGGGACTAAAAAGTTTTTCTGGAAGTTTTCTTATTCCTATTTCTATTGGATATACTGATTTTTATTTAAAAAGAAAAGAAATAAACTTTGAAAAACTATTATAAAAACAGGGGTCTCATACCTAGTTATAAAATTATTTTTAACATCGGATTTTAAATTCCTCAATTTAACACATTATTAAGAGAATATGGATGAAGACCAGGAAAAGATCCTTTCCATGTTGAAAGCAATACATGAAACCATTCTTTCAGCTTGTGATAAAATAAGACCTAACCTAAAAGAACAAGATGCCAGCTTAGATACACAAACCCAAACTTTGACTACAACCAAAGAACTAACAACACAGAAGATAACAGAAGAAGTGGAACAATCAAATATTAAGACAGAGGACTCAATTAACTAACAAATACAGTTAATGGAAAATCCAGAAAAGGGAGTGACAACACTGAAAATGGAAAAGATTTTCTATATAAATTAGAAGAAATTTGAGAAAGAACAGATTGAATGGAAGATAAACATATCATCAGGAATTGGAATAACAGGACATCATCAGGAATTGGAATAATAGGGAGACAATTTAATGAATACAAATGGGTTAGCCCTTCCAAAAAAATGGTAACTAAATGGTCTCTCTTATTTCAAATAACATATATAATAATAGAGGAAGATCTATTTGATGATCTAAAAGCATTGACATGGAAGGCTAGTTGGCAAAGGAAGAAGGCCAGAATAAGGCTGAAGAAAATTGGGGTTTTGATTTATTAGAGGGGATTTCATATTGCTAATTAGAGGGTTAAAGGGAGAAGCTGAGATAAGAGGAATTTTGGTCATTAGATCTAAAACATTTGGAAACTAGTTGAAAATAAGGATTTTATTTGTTTAATATTTAAAAATTAGACTCAAAAGGAAAAAAATTAATTATTATGAATATGTTGGATTTATTGATTAACCCAGACAATATATATATAATGAGTTTGATTTATTAAAGGGGATACTGTATTATTAAGTAGATGATTTAATATGGTGGGAAATAGATAACTTTTAGGAAATAGAACAAGACTATATTTAAATAGATAAAATATGTATTTTGAATATTAGATTCTGTTATGAATTGAGATAAGGAAAACTTTGGTTACCTAAATCTTGAAAATTATAAATATCAAATGTTAAATTGGAATATTGATGGGAAACTAAAAATTGGGAAAAATCAATAACAAGACATTGATTGTTTATAAAAATTGAATGTAAAAATAATTAAGATATGTATAAGCTAAATATTTGTTGATAAATGTAATAATGATGTTTTTACTTAGTTGATATAAGAACTGTATTAACTTAAATATGAGATAGTAGATATTAAGGGAAAAAGAGAGGAAATATTTGATGTTGTAACTTGAGATTTACTGTATACTAAAGATTTTTATATGCTATTGAATATTGATTAACCCAGCCACCACGTTGGTTTTTAAATGTAAAATTGGAAAATTAATAAAATATTATTAAAGAAATATAGACCTTCAAGGGACGTGATTGCTATAGAATAGAATGGGCAAGGCAAAAAAATTGGGAGGAGGTTTGCACAAAATAAATGCATTTAAACATTTTATCATCATGCTACCCCATTATTTGCTTAATCATCATTAATTTAACAGAGATAATTGGACTCTCACAAACAAATTACCCACTAATAGTAAATCTTAAAGTAATGTATGAACCTAATCACACACTGCAGCAACATACCCCACCCAGCCATCAATAATTCTGGAGAAATCCTGGTGAAACTGACTAGATGTTATTTGTCACTAGTTAATGTAGACTAACTGTAGAGCAGATGTCCCCAACCTTTTGGGCACCAGGGACCGGTTTCGTGGAGAAAGGTTTTTCCGTGGACCAGAGAGTGCATGGTTTCGTGTGCTGCCTGAATCCCTCAGATGGGGCTTTGCTTGTTTGTGCAGACCAGTTGCTGGCATGCCACAGACCGGTACTGGTTCACAGATCGGGGGTTGGGGACCCCTGCTGTAGAGCACAGTCAATTCTGCCTCCAATAATCATGTACACAGACAAAAATGCTCATACATGGAAATGTCAATTTTGCTTGACTTGGCTCTTCAAAAGATTAAGTTTATTCAGGGTTGTCCACAGTATGCCATCAAAAATATCAGGATAGTGGCTATAGCAGTACAATCAAAACTACACTTATATTTTATGTGTGTCATGATATTTCCCAACATATTTCATGGCAGGCAATGTTGTTGCAATATTATCTCAATCTGTATTATTATAATGTGATCACAAACCCCTTCATACCCTTTACATCAGGCATGTCCAATCCATGGACTGCATGTGGTTCTGGACAGCTAGTCATACAGCCGTACAAGTTCGTAAATTTTTAATATTATAATGTGATTTATATACATTGTATTTTATATGCAGCCCAAGATAGTTCCTCCTCACTCAGTGCACCCCAGGCAAGCCGAAAGTTTGGACACCCATGCTTTACGTGCTCCATTGAAGTGAATGCGCCCTAACATTGGTAGGTAAAATACAAAGGAGATGCTGGACTTAAGCATGCATGGTGTCTGCTGTCTTAAGACCCAACCTGTTAAGCGCAGGGGAAATCAGGAGATTCAGGCTGTTCAAATGAGTATAAAGATTTATTGCAAGCTTAAGCTCTCTGAAAAAATCTAAGCTACTAGTGGTCAAAGGAAATGAGTGGGAATTAAGAAGGTATTCAAGGTGGGCTGGACTTAGATCTCTTGTGGGCGCAAAAGGATTCATGACTGGTGATGCGTTTGACCCTTCAATCCTGCTCAGTCCTGGCCAGCATTGCAGATGCCTTCTTTAACAGATTACCTTGGAAGATATATTTTCCCTTCTATGGAAGGGTTAGACGGGTGTGATTCTTCTTAATAACAGAATAACAGAGTAGGAAGGAAGGACTTCTAGTCCAACTCGCTGGTTGAGCAAGAAACCTTATATCATTCTGGACAAATGGTTGTCTAATCTCTTCTTAAAAACCTCCAGTGATGGAGCACCCACAATTTCTGGAAATAAGCTGTTCCACTGATTAATTGTTCTCTAACCCTTCTCTAACTTAAAGCCACAGAAGTGTAGTGGGATGCATTTCTTTGTATATGGAAAGAAAACATGACTCTTTGTTTTGGTTTCAAGAAAATAATAATTAAAAAAATAACCCACAACTTTAGAGAGGAAAGGAAAGGAAACCAGAATCTGCACTGTAAATAATCTTATCCCTTCTTCCATTTAGTAGGGTGTTTTAACCAACAGGTGGCAGACCCAAGCTAGCATCCTTAAACATATTTTGGAATATTTCTATAAATGAAGGAAGCTCTCAATCTCCTAGCAAGGCCAAAGTAGCTACATGCATCTTGCATTAATTTATCTGAATTTTGCAACCCAACTCTATTCTGCAAATAATATGTACACAATTGTATATCAAAATAAATTTCACAATGTTTATGATAGGATGAATGAGATTTAAAGTATCTAGGTTATCCCTCTGTTTAAAAGATAGCACATTTTTTCCCCTTTTTCTTTGTAACCTTTGAGGTTCGTTTCTGACTTAGGGAAAAAGTTGTTAGAGGAATGTTCTGAAGAACTTCATGAAATGTAAACATGCTAAAGGATATTTGCTCATATGGGGATTGCATCCCGTTCTCATACAGACAGGCAAATGCTGCGATCCCAGTTGCTGAGAACTCTGAGTAAGGCAACTCAATGTAGGCCAAGTCTGAGTAAGCACTGGGCCCTTCATAAATAATCCAGGGTTTAGACCAGCTGTCAACATCTCTAGGAAATGTGCTGAGGTATATTCCCAAGTTGTCTCGGGATCTGGAGCTTGTTGGGTGGGAATACAGAACCCATGTTGGGATTTCAAAATACGTATCTGATTTGGAAATCATTTCAGCATTGTGATCTGGATCAGTACATGTCATATTCCAAGACATGGGACTAAGAGCACTATTGAGGTGGCCACTAGAAGTTTCAGTTGATATAAACCTTTCCAGCTGCTGCTGGCATAAATAGTGGTTGCAGAGAGAACTACTAAGCTGTGCTGGACAAAAATGGGACCTCTCACACATTCTAGGCTGCAATAAGAGGCCTGGCCCTTTAACAGGACATGCTTTTCTCTGGGACACTTGGATGCCATGATGCATGCAGTAAAGTGGAGCTGGGAATCCAATGATACTTCCGTGGCAACCATGAGGAGGCTCTACAAGTCGTGGTACCAGCTGCCCTGAATGGAATATTGCCCCGTCATCTGTGCTGAGTGCCTGAACCCGGAAGCCCAGAGGACTCCTAGCATTGCAGAAGAGCACATGGCTTCCATCCTCCTCATCCACTGACACCATCTGGCACTCAACAGTCTTCAGATTGGGGACAAACTCACCAAAGAACCAGCTCTGCCCATGATCATCACTGTAGAAGGCAAATGCATGTGGGGTTGTTTTGCAGAATTTCCCAAAGCATGTTTTGCAGTCAATATAATAAGTATAAGCAGGCAAGAGCAGACGGCCTGACTTGAGCTGAATGCCATGACCAGGACCAAGGGCAAAAGTAGCCCAATCTGGAAGGAAGTAAGGAAAAACATAAAAATCAAGAGACTTGTGACATTTTAATGATAGACAAATAATGGCAAAGAATTCATGAGCAGAATTGAACAGTCATGTTTTATCTGATAAATCATGCCTTTCAGAGGCTAAGAACTACATTTAAGTTTTTCTTTTCTTTTGCAGAGTGGGGATCCGAAGGTTATAATGGGCAGATTAATGTCAAACTGTATGGGCAATTTTACAAAATGTGTGGACTGCCTTGTGCGTGCAGATAAAAGTTAAGGTTTAAACGTATTAACTTCTGTAAAGTAAATGTTTTACTTCTCAAATTTTGCTAAAGCTATTTCAGCACTCACAAGATAATTTATATTCATGTGCGTGTTGTTTCCTGCTTCAAATTGGCAAATTCAGTATCACTGAATTTGTAATATAGTGAGAAAGGGTTCTAGTGAATTACAGAAAAACTATTTGGGAGCACTATGTGGCCCTAAAACTAAAGATTGCACACTTCAGATATGCATTCCATGTTAATTTTAACTGGCAGATGTGTCATTTATAAAGAAACAAAAAGGAAGAGTTGTGAACACAAAAGTCAGGCAGCAGTGATATACAATAAGATGAAGGAAACCTCCAGAGATCTGCTTTGAAATTCTTTCTGGCTCCTTAATAACAATCCATTCTGGGTCATGTTCTTCAGAATAAGGAGTGGGGATAATAATGGAGAAGATGGAACACAGCTGCCCGACCCATATGGATTTATTGGGATAATTCTTTCTGGAATTTTTGTCTTTGTGGCCCCTGGCCTTTCTTTTAATGACTTCCATATTACCAAATATGGTCCTACTCTGTTCTGTTTTCAGAGAATTAACTTGCTATTTGACAGAGATGGACAGATTCCCAACCTCCCTTACCAATTTCTTCCCAACATTCTTTTGGCTTTGAAAGAATAAAAAAGGACAGTTTGTGACAATTATCCAGTATATAAAATGAGCAGAACAATGACACCCTTATCCTAACTGTGGCCTGGTTAATCCATTCTGTTCAATGAGACAGAAATTCTTTCCTTGATGCAAGCCTAAATGAAGGTAACTAAAATCTTGATAAAGTCTAGCAATAAATATATGAATGCAACAAGATTCTTTGATGTTTTTGTTTTTTGATAGCATACCCCTATCTCATCGTTGGTCTCTTTTTTAGGTACTATCAAATATCTGTACCTTGGATGGACATGCCAATGACTTCCTCAGTGAGATCAGTCACATGACTCCAGCTGATGCCCTGGTCGGAACTAGACACATAGCAGAGGCGAGCAGCATTTTGACCTGTGACAATTTGAAAGACTTCAGAAGTCCTGCCCAACACAGCAATGAAAAATAGGAAAACCATGCCAGTGACTTCATCATAGATGGGACAAGCGTTCATAGATCGATGGTGCATAAGTTTTGCTGTTTCAATGGTTTGCATATCTTCCCACTGGCAAAAAAAAAAAAGACATTCAAAGAACTCAGGAACCCCAGATTTATCTTTCTTATTTAACTAGAACTTTTATGTTGCTTATTTTGAGATGGGACCCCATTAACCTGTAATTTTGTTAACTTCTATTTAACATTCACAGTTGGTGAGTTAAAGTAAGGTAAGGAGACTCAAGATAACCTAAATGAAATTTATTTTAGGTAAGATTTCAAAATGTATATTAAAACACATCCTATAAATGTCTTTTTTATCTAAGAATAATGTGAATATTAATAAATAGGTTATTAGCTATTATTTGCAGAATTATTTGTGATAAACAGTAATATTGCTGTCATAAATATCATGTAATTGGCTATGACCAGGAAAATATTTTTATCCTTCTGGGTCAAGGGTTTTTTGTCTCCTCTGAGTCTTTTCAGAAGAACATATTCTGTATATGCTTCTTACTAGACAGAAATATGGTCCTTGAAGAACAGCAGTTCTATTCCCCTTTGCTTATAAACCTAAAAGCTCCATCTTCCAAATATTAGGCCAGATGAATACTCCTCTAAGAATGCTGAAGGATGAAGCATCAGTGAATAATAGCTCAACAGTTGGTGGGATGTACTGGAATAGTCTTCTTTGTCATCCTGGCATCAATGAAAAAAAGTGGCTGACAGGGTGTTTAAGTTAACACACGTGGAGGAGAATGAGATAGTAAACTCTTTTAAGATTGAACAAAACAAAACATTCATTCAGTAACTCTGACAACAAGTAAGGGCTGTAGATCAGTTTCCAATGGGGAGAAGGAGCCTGAAATCATAATAGTTTGTTTTAAATGCATGATTTCATCAGTACGGGTGGTCCTCGACTTACAACAATTCACTTAGTGACTGTTCAAAGTTACAACAGCACTGAAAAAAATTGACTTATGACTGTTTTTCACATGACCATTGCAGTATCCCCATGGTCACACAATCAACATTCACACGTTTAGCAACTGATTCATATTTATGATTGTTGCTGCACCTTGGGGTCCTATGATCCCCTTTTGCTACCTTCTCACAAGCAAAGTCAATAGGGAAACCAGATACAGAAACATCTGTATTATTAACAACTGCTGTAATTCACTTAACAACTGTGGCAAGAAAGGTCAAAAAATGGGGCAAATTCACTTAACAAATATTTCACTTAGCAACAGAAATTTTGGGCTCAATTAAAGTCATAAGTCAATGGCTACTTGGACAGCTTTTGCCTAAATGCATGCTTTTTTCTCAATACAATTTTGCAGCAGTTCAATCTTTTGGGAAGGGTGAGATTTTGGTATTCTTTTGATTATTTTTTGAGGAGGCACCCGTTGTGCATGGCACAAGGTTGTTGCAGTGGTACTTGGAGCCTGAAAAGATTACCAAGTGCAGGATATGAAAGCAGGTAATAGCTGGCAATTCCATATGTGGATTGACTCTATAATCAAGCAATAAAGACTAAATTAAAACAAATGCTAACTATTATAGTCTTTCCCAGCTGGTATTCCCCAAAAGGTTTGGACCATGTCCTAGATTCCCCCCTTGTCATCCCAACACAGCAACAGATTAGTGAAGTGCTAGGAAGAAGTAGCAGTACGGAGAGAGATATTCATAGAGACACTCTTCTGCTTTTGTCACTAACATCTAGCCTTGCTATCCAACTTTGGGGAAAGCTGTTTTTGCTTTGTCTTACCTGCACAAAGTTCATGTAGAAAACACCCCTTCTTAGCACCAGTAAATTGGCATCAGCGTCATCCACACTAAGCCGCTGTTCTGCAAAAGCCAAGAGCTTGGCTACAGATGGGATATAGAGTAACGCTGGCACTCGGTACGTCATTCCACTTGTTTCCTTTTCAAATAAGACTGTTCGGCCAGGGAAATGGTGAGTGCCCATTGCAGCTGCAATTCATAAAGGATATCCAAAGCACTGAGCAGAAAAATTGGATGCCAGGTGTATCTATATTGCAGACTTCAACTATCTTAATAATCATCCTATCTGTGAATTCATTTTGACTGTAACGAGAGAGACTCTGATCAAACATGCAGGAGAAAGGACATCCTTTGATTCACACATACATGATCAATGAATGCTGCTGGAGGATTGAACAGGATGGATTAATTAATTTAGGGGATTTCTGAAATGTTCTTAATAATAGTCACTGGCAAAGCATGCCCTGCACATATTTTATTTAAGCAAATACCTGGAGATATTTCTGGAAAGGAAATGAGCTGTTTTAGTAAGAAATATTAATGTATGTCTCTCCACTTGTAAATTAAGGATAGTATGATTACTACAGAACTAGACTTGGAGAGGGAGAAAGAAAAAGAGGCAGAAACATTTTATTGGAAGCTCTGGAAAATCCCTCTGGTAGAAATGGTTCTGTCAATCTGCATGGATCATGAATGTTGATCTTAAAGTATTTAAATTCTCTGTTCACCTCATTCAATCTATATTTTGGTAAATAAATTCAAGGATTACAATAATTCATGCATCTTCCGTGACCTTCCCAACAAAATGAAATTTGGAGGGGTTTTAGATTGTGCACTATTTTATAGGAAACAGAACAAGAATATGAGCCCCAGATATAGGCAATCTGAAGCCCTTCAGATGCTTTGGACTAGAGCTTCCATAATCTGTTGATATGGGTCAGGTTAGCCAGAAGTGATGAGAAATTAATTCCAGAATACCTGAGGGCACCAGATGCACTGTGACTTCGTGCAGCAATCTCTCCCCATCCCAGCCCCCAAAGGAAAGGAATATTGTATAGGAAAATGAAACAAAGGAAGCAAATTATAAGTACAAAGTACAAAGTAAAAAGGGAAGAGACATAGGGAAACTGACAGATCAAAGAGAGCATAAAACTACAAACCTTGTTCTTTTTCTGGCTGTTACCACTAAATCCACTAGTTGTTCTTTAGATGGATCGGTAGTAATTTGAATTACACGTGTACCCATGTACATATGCTGCTTTCTAACCAATACAGTCTCAGCAGTTTCCTATCTTTAGTGGCACCTTGTTTGTTGTGTTTTAACTCTCAACACACACCCCGCCCCTCCTTTTCCTCTCCCTTTGAGTCAATGACTTTACTAGATGATACAGAGAAAGAACCGAGGCAGTATTTACTAGCTTGATCAGCAATAGTAGACAAAGACTTCATTGTCAACAGGTCAGTGAGGACAGAACCAGCATTTTCCATGGGCAGGTATTAATGGCTATAATTTCCCTATTTATTTACTTATTTACTAATTGAGACACTGGTTTCCAGACCATATTTACATATATGAAACATAATAGAAAACACCATAATTGGAAGTGAATTTTGGGTGATCTGGTCATGAACAAAGATTTTCCTCTCTAACTTTCAAGTAACAAGAGATTGTGATACTCCCAGTATCTGTATGTTTGATCTGTGATCTAACTCTGTTTATTCATTTTTACCTAATTATAATACAAATATACCTGCCATCAACTTTTTTCTGCAAGGTCTCTAGCATATTGTCCTACTCACATAATCCAACCCATGTGTGAGACAGGCTGATGATGGCCTTAAGTATACTACTATGAAGCTAGCATTATCCTTATTGAGGCAACATAATCCAAAGTAAGTTATATGGATTTTGATGCCTTTCCATCAGCAGCAAATTCAAGTGACCCATAGTAAATAGCTTGGCATCTATTAACCATTGAGCTAATGTAATCATGTTTCTTTTCCTATGGTTTCTAGGCAGTCTCCTATACTACAATTCTGTTTTTTCACCCAAAATACTGGGCATATCATTGTTGATCCAACAACACTTTGTCATGTTAACTCTTCAAAATGAGAAATATCAAAATAGCTAATAAACAGGATGTGCTAATGGAAGGGTATCCTCCTATTTCTCTTGCATTTTAGAGTTAGTTTGTGACATGTGTATAAACATAAATGATAAAACATACATGTGCGCTTTCAAACATCATTAATCTTTCCTATAATTACACTACATTACATCTTGCCTTATAGTATATAGTATATTTTACATAGTATATGGTAAGTGCTATATGCTATGATTTATGACCAATCACTTTGTTGTTTGTATGTACATTGAGAGTTTATGCATCAGAGAAAAATTCCTTGTGTGTCCAATCACACTTGGCCAATAAAATATTCTATGCTATGCTATGCTATGCACTATACTGTACACCATACACTATAGTAATTGGCAGAATTATGAACACAATGGATACTATACTGTAGTGATTAATGTGTGTCACTAAGCACTATATAGACTTAATACATATATTAATATGTATTAAACATCCAGAATTATCTCTGAGGTAAAAGAGATTCCACTGTAGTTCATACTAAAGTTATCTTAAGCTATAACCTCCTCATTAACAACAACAGGAAAATTAAGTCAGACCATAATTTGCTCTGAATTGTGTAAGGATTTTTGCCAAAACCTGTAATTATATATTGTGGTTTTTTGGCCAGAAATTAAACATGGATCTAGTAATCTAACCTGAGACACCCAACACCATTGCTGCTTCACAATTAGAAGTGATTCAACGTGCTTGCCTAAAGATACCCTTCCTTGTGTATATTAAATCCATTACTGTAGTATTTGTACCACTGCCAACCCATGGACATAGTATGACATAGATGATTTTTACCCCCAATGCAGCTTTTGTTAAATGAATCTTCTTCTGTGGCCTGAAATTCCGAGCCTGGTTTTTTTTGTCTGATTCAGTAACCAGCAAACAGAACATTTACCCCACACTCCATCTTTCTGATCATCTACCATAATCATCCCAATCTCCATGCAAATCAAAGTATAGCAAGATTGCACAGTGAGAGACTGTTATTTTCACCTTATTATAAAAGCGCAAATGTGGCAGGGAAAATTTTTTTTTGCTAAACTGTGCCTATTGCTTTCTGAAGGACAAATGCTTAACTCATAGAAATGTAATTTTGATCTGTAAATATCACCAGTGGTTGTATTTTTGTGCTCCAAACTAGAATATCTTCTATTCTGGATCCTGTTTTCAGAGTTTTAATACACATGTTATAATCTAGTAGGTAGGGATTAAATTATAGATAGTCCTCGATTTACAACAGTTCATTTAGTCACTGTTCGAAGTTACAACAGCACTGAAAAAAGATAGTTATGAACATTTTTCACTCTTATGACTGTTGCAGATCCCCATGGTCATGTGATCAAAATTCAGATGGTTGGAAACTGACTCATATTTATGACGGTTGCAGTGTCCTGAATCATATGATCATCTTTTGTGGCTTTTTGATGAGCAAAGCCAATGGGGAAGCCAGATTCACTTAACAACCATATTATTAACTTAACAGCTGCAGTGATTCACGTAGCAATTGTGGCAAGAAAAGAAGTAAAGTAAAATGGAGCAAAATTCACTTAACTATTTTGCTTAGCAACAGAAATTTTGAGCTCATTTGTGATTGTAAGTCAAGGACTACCTGTATTGTTACTGTCCAAGTATCTGTCAGCCCTGTAGTATCAAGAAAGAGATGCTAGAGGGATTCCAGAGTGCAATTTATATTGTTAGATATTGAGAATCTTGAGAATCTATCTGAGTTTCTTTCTGTGACATGTTATATGGAACAAAATCAAGGCAAGGTTATTTTGAATTTCTTTCTCATTTTTCTTTCTATCTCTGGGTTGTGTAATCTTTTCTGCAAGTTACCCCTTAATGGTGCTTTTGTATCTTCTATCTCTAAATTCCTGTACAATACTCCACAGTTAACTTTATTGGAACAGGGACTAGGAGTTGAAGTCTACACACCAAAGTTGCTGAGGTAGAGAAACATTGATCTATGTAGACAGATCTGCACTCCTGGTTTTGAAGCAAAAGGTTCCACTGGTAATTCCATGACTTTGTGGTGGGGTTTGGTTCCTCGTGTTTACATGAGGAAAAGAGGTCAGGGCCACAGTAATAGGTTTAACCGCTTGTTAAGTTGCCCTACAACTAAAAAAGCAAAAAAGACGAAGCATAGGGCAATTAAAACTTGTTTGGCAAGGATTTTAGTTTCCAGCTGACTTATTGGTAATACTTTTATACAACTTCCATGAGAGCCATGGTGAACTGAAGACACCTTCATGAAAGTGCAGTTGACCACAGCAAAGTCTACTCATTTTTCCAGTTAAGGAGAATATGGGAAATAACCCACATGTACTGCAGGTGGCTATTCCTCACAAGGAGACCACAGGATAGCAATTTTTTCCATGGGTTTGAGCACCAGGAGATGAAGGCATTAGCCATTTTGGTCTCAATTGAAACAGAGACTTTTAAAGGGCAGTAGGTTTGCAAGCCTCACCTTCAGAAATTGCCTATTAACCATCTTAAAGTCATTCAGAACAACAAGCTTAAAAAGTCACAGGGTCAATGTAGCTTCGATTTTCAACAAAAGAAAAATTAATTACAAATTTAAGAACTTAAATATTTTGAAATAAACAGCAAAAAGCTAAATAAGATTTTGATCTAAAAAGTTAATTTAAAGGGTCAAGTTAAATTTGAAATATTAACAGCAAGTGTACGATTTTGGAATTGACTATAAAAACAGTTTCTCGTGGGAAATTATTTTGCTATCTTGATTCATCACAAAGATAAAGAACTTTATAGTTTTAGAAACTGAACTTTAGAGGGGACTAAACATTCATAGTTGAAGGGGGAAAAATTACAAGCGAACTTTTGGAGTCAATTAACTAGGACTTACAAAATGACAGAAAAAGTCATAACATTGGAAATATTAAAGCAGATCTTTGAAGAACGGAGCCAGAAACTAATACTTAACAATATCAATAGTGTCAGTAAAGATGTCTGAATCTATGGATTGACAATGTCCAAATATGTCAATGAGGGAATGACAGATGTGGAGTAAATTTTGTCTGACAAGAAAAAGTACCCAAAAAGGAAGTACAAGTTACAGGCCAAAAGAATGATTTGGAAAAAGGTGCTTTACTAATATTTAAAGAAAACTGACTGAAAATGATAAAAATTAAAGGGGAAATGCAAATGACAAACCAAAAGAATGATCTGGAAAATGTTTTCTTATGAATCTACAAAAGAAGCTTGTTAAACCTTTGAGCAACGTGGAGGCAGAGTCTTTCATCAAGTTTGCAGCTGTAATGCAACCTAAATTGAATCTAAGCTCTGTACTATCAAGTATCAAGGGAGAAGGGAACCTTTTTCAATAGATGTGTAAAAGCAAAAATTAAACAATAATTTGTCAAAAATGTTTTAATATACACTGAGTAAGGGGTTGGACAGAATTGCTAAAATGTTATGTTGCTCCTCTATAATTCAATGAGATGTAGCTTTTAATTCTGATACTATGAAAATCTGAGAACTGTGGATATGATCCAGTCCACTGTTTGTTTGGAAAAGGTTGTGTCCATGTATGGTCAAATATTTGTCTTTATATCTTCACCACACTGAAATGGTGAATGGATTTAGACCTTGATCAGAATGATTCTATAATTTTTTTTCTAACTTTATCATTGTTGTCCCTTAGGACTTTTGTAAGATTAGAGCTTCAGGATGGGAGTCCAAAAACAGTGACTCTAATTTCCATCTCATTTTTGATTCTGAAAAGGCACTGAGATTAATCTGGAGTATTTTGGATGAAGAAAAACTGAAGTCTAGAATGTCATAGAGATTGGAACTTGGTCCGGAAAGATGGTATTGTTAAAGGAACTCATCTGACAAATGTTTTCTTCTTCTTAAATGGGAACTGTGAATTGTATAGATGGGCTGTATATTGGAGCTCTGGCATGATCATCTTTTTACAGATGTTCAGGGTCTTATTGTCTAAATCTTGTTTGAGATTGTAACCCATGATACCAGCATTTCCTCCTTGAAAAGGCTTCATTTTCTTATCTTTAACTTGATAGTGCTCAATTGCAGTTTCTTCCAAGAGGCATGTCTCCATCAGTTCCTTCTGTCTCTTCTGCAGAAGATCAACTTCCTTGTACAGTGTTTTGAGGTCCATTCTTTCCCGAATCTTCATCCAAAATGATTTATTGAAATGTTTATAAAGTTCCCAATCTAAAGCACACCACTCCTTCACTTTCTCTTTATTCTCTGGATTCAGAGTCTGAATGCTCTGTTGGCTCCTGGCATTCAACTTGAAATAAATCACATCATCCAGATCCCAACACAAAAAATCCTTCAGAAGGATCATTGACTCATCAAAAAAATCAGCAATCAGTATCAAATGAAAAATTTCTTCTATTTTCTTCAGGACAAACTGGATATAACTCTTATCGTATTCTGCATTGTTGTTATACCCAAAATCAAACCACATGTTGTTCTTAGCATACATATTATTTTGTTCTGTCATATTGTAGTATGACCAAGGAGAGGATAGAAATTCATTAACATTCTTGGACTTTCTAAATGCTGGCGAATAGGTTTTGTAGTAGACATAAGATGATTCAAGCAATAATGCTGGGTGCCTCAGGACAGAAAAATAAAAGGTATTATTTGGCATTATTCTTCTGACCTTTTAAATGAAAGAGGGAGAGAGAGAGAGAGATTAAAATAAGAATTAATATTTTTGAATGATCAGTAGAAATTTTGTATTCTGAAATAAATACAATTGACCATCATTTGCAAATCTTAACAAGATTTCAGGAAAGTTGGTACAATATGAAATGGTACTTGCTTTTGCATGTCTGTAGAGAAATATTATACATTAATTTAGCCATATTTACTGAGACATTACAAGAAACCATAAGGAAACAAAGACTAATGGCATAAATAAGTTTTAACCCCCCTTTGGGCTTCCATGCTTTTCCTTTTAAAGGAGTGCTTTAAAAAAAAAATTACTTCCATTTTTAAGTAATTATAGATTATATTGTCCCAATCAGAATATCTATGCTTTATTTAACTAATTTAATATAAATTAGATTAACCATAGCTTAAGGCTTGAATGCTACTTTAAACAATAGGTAATTGGGGAGAAAATCAAAGTTTTTGATATCTTTCTTTATAGTTCGGGTGAAAAAAGATTTAATCTATCACATTTGCATTCAGTAAATATGAGGAACCAGCAAAATGCTTACTTATGTTCATCATTAAGAGCAGATAATTGGAGAAGATATTAAAATACTGATGATGTTACCTAGTTTGAGTAATGAAACATCTGCAAGAAAACAACCAGACTCAGAGAGCATCAAGGACCTGTTGGAAATTAAATTAAATCCAGTCCAGTTCTTACTCCAAGCCAGGAGAAAGATGCAGGAGAAATGAATTGGAGGCAGGTTGCAGTTTTGGAAAGGAGGTCTCTGTTTATTTGGAAGTCAGAAACAACAGTGACAGCAGCATATTTCTGGGGTGGCTGACAAATTGGGGTTGAGAGTAGATGGGCATCTGTACAATTTGGGGGGGGGCTTTGTGATTGCCAATTCCTGTGCAAGAATGTATCCTTTAATATTTTAATGGCTGTTGCAGGTTCCTATGGGGTCATGTAGGGGTCATGACTGGCTCTACAGGCAAAAGAATACAAATCCTAGGTGTTTTGTTTGCCTAAGCTAATTTTATCAGTTTCAGCTCCTTGCCTATTGTGCTGCTTATTGGGAGCTGCTGGCTGCCCTTTGTTTATGAACAAAATGGCCGGCTTTATGAATGGATACAAAATATCCATTCATAAAGCCTAGTAGCCTCTTCAGACTTCTGCTTGAGGCTGTTTTCCTATAGCAGAAAGTCTGGGAGTGCTTTCTGTTTTTGTTAAGGATATTTTTTTTCCCCTCTTCTCCTTTAGGGCAAATATTCTACTCTGCCTGTTTTAATATTCTGTAGAATATTTTATTCTGGGAAGGGGGCCCTTTCCACAGACCCCTCATTAAAATATCACACCAACCACACAATTGGAAACAAATTAAGAAGATCAGTTTCATTCTTAGCAGACCTGAAGCAAGCAGGGAAGAGGGGAATGTAAAAAGGGTCTCCATTATTAGAACCATAGGTGTTGGCTATTGTAGACTGCAGAATTGTGATGTATTTGATCTATTTGCAGAACAATATGTTTAGAAATAAATAGTGCTTAACAATAAACACAGTATAGTTTGTGTGCAATTACATATGCTGAATGAGCTTGTTTTATTCCTCTAAACCAGGCATGTCAAACTCGCAACATCACATGACGTTGCATGATGTATTGCGACTTTTTTCCCCATTGCCAGCAATGGGGTGGGCGTGGTTTCGACGTGACGCATCCGGCCCACGGGCTGGCAGTTTGACATTCCTGCCCTAAACTTTCTACAGAAAAGTACTTGAAATGGCATTACATACTACTCAATGAGAGGATGAGACAGGTGGACAAAGCTGATATTTTAAAATGAAAAGTGAGTCAATTTTTCCAAATTGCACTCTTTCAGATACATAAGGAGAAATAGCAGTTCTTTGGATTTTTTAAATTTATTTCTACTCCTCCTCCTCCTCCACCTCCTCCTCTTCCTCCTCCTCCTCCTCCTCCTTCTTCTTCTTTTTGCCTTTGGAGGCTATGGAGTTTGCGGAGAGGAGTCCATGGAGTTCAATTTTTGTGGATGTATTTGCATTTTTAGATGTTTATTCAGAGAATAAAAGGGAATAGGATTATTCATCATCTCAGAGACTTAATACATCTAATTTTATATCTTAAATTCTTTTATTAAATAATTATGTCAGTGAAAACTAGCATTTTGCTGCTGAAATATGGTTGTGCAAATTTGGGGGTTACAAAAATGGGCTGAGCTTTATGTCTGTCCTGTGTCTGTCCTGTTTTTTTTTCCCCTTTATAGCATGGAGAGATTGCTTAAACAATCCTCATTAGCGCATTCCTTTCAATGTGCCATTATTTGCCTACTTACACTCGTATTAAAAGTTTCCCTCCAATGAATGTAAATACAAACATTAATTCTCTTCTTGCTAATTATCCCAGTGCTGGGTGAGCATTCCAAAGGAGGGAATAGGGGAAAAGAATTATAAGGTTTGCCTTTTAATTAGCTTCCTCATAAATAAAGTTCTAGAAACTTTTGCTGTTTAGGCTCATCTGGCTCTTTGGGGTTATATTCTTTTGATGATGCAAGTATACTCAAGGTCAATTTCTTAATAAACCTTTTTCAAGATTTGTTATTGTTCTGAAATCTCCTCAATCTTTGGTATGTATTCTGCAAATTCCAAATTAAGCATCAACACAGATTAACAGCAACAATGACTCCTACAGAATGCATTAATTCCAACAGATAAAGTCTGGAATAAAAATTGGAAACTTTACAAAATAACTTCTATAGTCTTACCTGTTGCCAATTAAACCTTAAATGGTTGCCCATGATGTTGAACTTATTTTCCAGTGTTTTGAATTCCTCAACATATGATGCGTGGAAGGGACTAGGATAGCCAAGATGGGGTTCATTTCCATAGGGTAAGGCTATGGTGAGGTTATGTTTCTCTGAGAAGCGGTAAAGGATGTTGAGGATTGTACTGCTGGCTGTTTTGTGGGTCTTGAGAAACATGACATCTGTGATGGGTTGACAGATTTTGGAAGGATGCTTCTGCCTAGATAAATATTTATATTTAATTTTATTTATATGCCGCCCAATCCCAAAGGACTCAGGGCGGCGTACAGAGATTAAAACAATCATAAAACAATAAAATAATACAGTCATACCGCGAGTCCGATCATATCCCGCCCCCCCCCGGGGACATCAGCCCCAGGCCTGCCGGAACAGGAGAGTTTTAACGGCTTTCTTAAAGGCCGGCAGGGTGGGAGTAGTTCGAACCTCGGGGGGAAGTTGATTCCACCAGGTTGGAGCCACCACAGAAAAGGCCCTTCCCCAAGGGCCCGCCAGCCGACATTGTCTGGCCGACGGGACCTGAAGGAGGCCCAATCTATGGGACCTCACCGGTCTCTGGGAACTGTGCGGCAGAATGCGGTCCTGTAAGTAACCTGGCCCTATGCCATGAAGGGCTTTAAAGGTGATAACCAACACCTTGAATTGCATCCGGAGACCCACAGGAAGCCAGTGCAGCTCGCGGAGGATAGGTGACACGTGGGCGTACCTTGGCACGCCCACAATCGCTCTCGCGGCTGCGTTCTGAACCAACTGCAGCCTCCGAACGCCCTTCAAGGGTAGCCCCATGTAGAGCGTGTTACAGTAATCCAGTCTTGAGGTGACAAGGGCATGAGTGACTGTGAGTAAAGCCTCCCGGTCCAAATAAGGCCGCAACTGGTGCACTAGGCAAACCTGTGCAAATACACAATATATAATGAAGGAAAGATATTTAGAAGCTACCCTTCCCACTTAGTAATTCATTCCTTATGGCTGCTGAGGTCCTCCCTGCTTTCCTTTGGCTTCTATGTTTAGTCTGATCTGTTTTTCTTTCTTTGACACATTTCAATATGTCATGTGTCTACACGTGTTTGAAGCTGAGTTAAAAGTCATTCCCCTCCAGAGAAAGAAATATTTTGGGGAATATTAAAAAGGCAGAATATATTTCTCCAAAGGAATAATGAGAGAAAAAAATCTAAGACAAAACAAACTCCCCTCCCCCCCTCTCTGCCAAAAGCAGAAGCCAGGTCTGTAGAAATGCAGATGTGATAATCCTTTCAGAAAGGATGGAGCCAGGAAGCTAGAAGCTAATGAGATTAGGAAGATAAAAACCTTAAAGTCTACATACCCCACCCAAACTCTAAAAGACATGACCTTTAGAACATAATAGGATTAATCCACTAATACCAAAAAGGACATACTCAAAAGCTCAGGTCAAAGTACATGACACAGGAAATACAAAGTCTCAAACAGGAAGAAATCCAAACACAAAAGCTCAAGAGCTATAAAAACCCACCACTTGCAGCTACATATGGTCAGCTGCTCCAGAGCCTTATGTCTTGTGGTTCTGCTCTTCAATAAACTACAACTTTCTTTCTAAAGCATTTTGTTTATTCCTGGCTTGGACTGGATCCTGATAAAGACTTTTCTTTAAACAGATGAAATGCCAAGTTTGTGAATTGTCTATGGCATTTATAGGCCATAAATTATATAATCAAGATACAGTGACTTTTTGTACTTAACAATAAAATGTTAGATGTGATTTTAGTACCAAGCATGAATAGGTTGTTCAGAGTTGTAATGAATGTGAGAAACATCCATTTTAAGATGTTCATGTATTGAAAGAATTAAATAAAGTAGCTGCTCTGTCAGTCCAGATAATGGGCAGATAAAATTAAAGAAAGGGAAACCAAAACACCAAGGAGCTAATAAAGAGAGTAGATTTCCTTCCTCATGAGGGTTTCTACAAGCAGGGATGGGCAGTCTCCATTTTGCCTCTGTGTTTCATTTCTCCCTTCCTGGAGTTTGGCTGAAAGACTGTTAACGGCAAAGCTGCAGTGAGCAGCAACGGAGATGCAGCTAATAATTTAGATAGAACATTGGGTCAGTTAAACTAATTGCAATATTATGGTTTTTTGCAGACTAAGATGTATAAAAAACTGTCTAGTGCTTGTCTAAGATCCTAGGCTAGAGAGATCAGCTGATTGAGACCCACCTTTTCAAGAAACAATTCTTTCTCCTTTTATTTTTTCTGTTCAACTTTCTTCTACATCTCTGACTTTGCTATATATAATAACAGTTTCCGTTTCTTAGTGAACTTGCAATGCTTCTTTTTGGAAAGGGAGCTAGCTTTTAATATATGGTTCCCCACAAAATCAGGCTATTGAATGGAGAAAGGGAGAATTCCTCTTACATTTTTTATGGTATCTTTAAAGCATGAAAGTCAGCTGGGTGACCTTGAGCCAGTCATTCCCTCACACCCCAAGTCACCTCACTGGATTGTTGTAGAAACAACAGGTGAAGGAAAGTGTGTTGGATATGTTCGCTGCCTTAAGTTATTTGTAAAAATAACAAAGGCAGTATAAAAATAAATAAGTAATAGATACATAAGCATGCATTGGCTCTTCCCAGGAATTGTGGGCAGGGTGCAGCAGGATTGTGGGAAGAAAGTTGGGAACCAGCAGGGGTCCAATCTCTGCATTCTAGGCATGCCTGAATATGCGCCTCCTTTACAATATAAAGTTTTAATAATCTCTGCTAAGAAGGGTAGAATAATAAAGCCTATGCGTATTAGGCCTCTGCAAATGGCTTTGATTAATCAAGACTTTCCCCTTATGCCTTTATTAAGTTAGACAAGGTATTGTTCTGAGGCAGATTAATAGCCTTAGTTACACTTAATGCCTTATGCAGCTTTCTTTGCTAACAGTCTGGGCACATTTTGGCCTGTATGCTGCAAGCACAGTATGGGAAATGACCAGGCTGAGCCCAAGGGAGGGGTCAAATGTATCATAAGTCGTAAGTCATGAATCCCTGCACGCCTGCAAGAGATCTCAGTCCAGCCCTCTTTGAATGCCTTCTTAATTCCCACACATTTCCCTTGACTGTTAATAGTTCAGATTATTTAGAGAGTTTGTCTGCAATAAATCTTTATACTCATTTAAACTTCCTGAATTTCTTCATTTCTCTAGTGCTTGACATACAGCACAGTTATCCAAATACACTCACAATTTCTATGCAAATTGCTCTTGCGAGCATTATATTGTTACCCACATCTCACCCCTAGAGGGTATATGTAGTGTACCAATGTAGCCAAGATATGGTTGTTTTTAATTACCAATAATTGTAATACTAAGGGTTTGTTTAATCATACACACATACATATACTATACCGCAATCCAGTGTGAAAAGGGAGAGAGGAACACTTGGTGGATCAATTCAACCTAAAACTTGCTTATAATTGCAATTCAGTAGTTCAATATCAGTATTCTTTAAAGGGGATGTCATTTCTAGTGTATTTGTTTTAGAAAATGCACTTACTTGATGTCCTTTGTAGTATTGTATTGAAAGAATCCTATCAGGGTAAGACCTGCCAGCCAAAGAATGAGATACAAAAATCGCTGAAAATACCTAGAAGAGAACCCAATACAATCTTCTAATTATCTGCCATAGCTCTTAGGATATTTATACACTACAAACTGTCTTTGCCAACTCCTGAATGTAATGCATTCACCTCCTAACCCTATATAAACCAAAAAAAGCCATTTGGTGAAAAAATATAGATGAAATCCAAGCTTCCCAAGAAGTGTAGCACCAAAACTTGGTCGTAAACTATAGAATTATGCTGGTGCAGTTTCCTATAAATTTTAGGTGAAAAATAAATGGGAATGCATTAAACTTCCAATGGGCTTAACACATTTATTGCTATTGGAAATAACTCTATATCTACCAGAACAAAAAAGTTCAGGGAGTTGAATCACATTCCACACGAGTAATATCTACTGCAGTGATGGCGAACCTTTTAGAGACCGAGTGCCCAAACTGCAACCCCAAACCCACTTATGCATTGTTGGGTGCCAGGTGGGTGTGGCCCATTGGGTGGGTGTGGCCCATTGAGTGGGCGTGGCTGCCGTGATAACAGCAGACTGGGTGGTACTAAAAAGTTTAATCAATCAATTCCAACTTTGCCAGATCTTTTTTTCCCTGCAAGAAGTTGAAATTGACTCATTGATTGAACCTTTTTTTTTTGCACACAGCGGCAGAGGCCTAAAGCGAAAAGGTTTTATAAAACCCAGCTGAAGGCCTAGGACTGGGGCGACGGCGCATTTGCCCACAGAGAGGGCTCTGAGTGCCGCCTCTGGCACCCGTGCCATGGGTTCGCCACCAATGATCTACTGTATTGTCTACTGTAGCCCTTGACTGTCTAAAACACATGTCCCCAACCCCCGGTCCATGGACTAGTACCGGGCCACGGCATGCCAGCAACTGGGCTGCACAAACAAACAAAGCCCTATCTGCAAGATGCAGGCAGCACACAAAACCACCAACCCTCCAGTCCGCAGAAAAACCTCTTTCCATGGAACCAGTCCTTGATGCTCAAAAGGTTGGGGACCTCTGGTCTAAAATATAAACTTGAAAAGGTGTAATCCATAGACCCAAAATGCTTCTGCTTTGACAGCTAGGTATAGATTATGAATCAAAGGAGACAGCAACATTAAAACTATGATTTAAAACCAGCATAGGCATTCTGGGGCTGAGTGGAAAGTTGTAGTTATTCAGTTATAAAGTTTAAAATTAAGGTTTTGGAAAACACTGATAGACTTTGTTACTAAACATTGTGCTGCTTACACATACAACTTTAGATAGCCTTCAATATACATATATTATAACTTAATAAAAATCAGTTCAACAGTAAAAGTATATCTGTTGGTGTCTACAATCAGATAACTTTAGTGTTTATTAAAACAATTGTTTTTTTTTTTAATGATGGGCATTCAATTCATACAGGAAAAGGAAGAAAATATTGTTATCTATTATCACCAGGGAAGAAAATCTTCTGTAAAGTTAAGGTTTATTTAAAAGAATTCAAACACTCTCAGTACACACACACACACACACACACACACACACGGCTCTTTACCATTGCCTTTTTTTTCACCCACCAAGTAGGCTTTCTGTTTGAAACATTTTTTGTGTGTTTTGTGGTTATTCTCATTTTATTATATTCAAGCTTTTAACTAAAGAGAACTCCAAAAGAAAATCTCAAGCCTTCCTTGACCTAGGTATCCTTAAGAAGGTTTGAATCAGAAATAGGAAGTTATCTGTGAACGTGCAGAGAACCAGGAAATAACTGCAGTCAGGTTTCTAAAATCCTGTTTACTCAAATAATAAAGGTGTCAACTCTACAATGAACCTGGCTGCAGCCATCTTTCTCATTCTAGGTTGCCACACGAATGGGAGGGGGTGTGGAGAATTTTTACTAGTCTAAACAATTCTGTGTCCTATGGGAACCAAGGTCATTCTGTCGGTTATGCTAGGGGGTTGGGAAACGTAGTTGATTGCATAGCACTGAGGTGGGAAGTTTGACTTTGTAATAGTGTAACTCTTTGGATGGAATTTTAGACTTGGTTTCACGTTTGACCGTGCCAATACTTTGTATCCAATAAACATGTTCTTTGATAAAGTGTCCAGCCTCAGAGTTCTGATTTATTTAGCTTTATCAGAACCTTGACATTAGGATAAAGGAGATATATAGCGTAATAATCTTTTTAGAGGTACTTTTTTATCTCTCGATGTACAATAGCCTAATGGTAGCATGAATCTACTAAAGCTATCTCTAGAAATAACTGTTCCTTTTATTTTTACAAAAAATGGGGTTGTGATAGGCACTACATGCCTGAATTATTTGACAATTGTAGAATTCAAGTTTACCTGTTAAAATAGGCTATACATGACTGCTTCCAGCCAGGAATACTCTTGTTGCTGTATTCAGAAATGCGGTCTTTAGTTTAATATTATTGACTTAGAAATTTAATGCATATTATTAGAGCCACAGTAGGGTAAAAATTCCAAAATGTCAAAAAGAACAGCCTAGAGTTGCTTGATTTCTGCTTTTTTCTATCTATCTTAGAGCCTAAAAGTACTTCTATCAGTCAACTAGAACAGATTCATAAAACAATGTGTTTAAGATCATTCTTAAGTGATGTTAGAGATTTTACAGATAGTCATGTGGATATTGCTAATTAGTCCTGCAAATTGTAGAATATATTTTAAGAAAATGTTTTATAGAAGTTTCAGAATTAAGTTGTTTCTCAACATTTGCTGTTACCAATCAACAAGCATTGAAATCTTCACCTTCATAAGAAGGATTTTTAGATTAGAAAAATAATAATAAACGGAAATCACAAAAAGATTATAATGGAATCATTCTATCTTCTTCTGAAACCTATTTTTGAGCGAGAACAATAAAAGTTTTGTATAGACTTTTCTTAAAATGATATTTGTTATTCATTCATAAGGCTGACTTCCAATACCAATCCTGTAATCCAAGATGATTTTATCACTTAAAAATACATTTTAAGATTAAGTGAATACATTTGTATTTGCTACAAGAAAGAAAGTATTATATTACTAATGTAGAATAAAACCAAAAGTACTGTGTGATTTTTAAAAAAGTTTTTGCTTAGTAAAAACAAAAACTGTTTGGAAAAGAAACAGGCTTAAGAAAGCCTTTTGGCCATTTTCCCATGGTGATGACCTCCCTTGCTTCGTTAGTCCTCTCACCCATCTCTGGGTTTTGTTTTCCATCATTATTTAAAGACATATATTTTGACCTTTTATGTAAATCCCCCTCTATAACCCTCCCTCATACATGATGCCTTCCTGACTGATACATCCACCAGTAAACCAGGAAAAAAAGAACTTATTCCTTATTCCATTTATTAACAGAATAACAGAGGGATGGGGCCTTGGACATCTTCTAGTCCAACCCCCTGCTCAAGCAGGAGACCCTATACCATTTCAGAAAAATGGCTGTGCAATCTTTTCTTAAGAACTTCCAATGAAGCTCAGCTCTCCTACATTCCACTGGCCCAACAGCTCAGAATAAAATAACCGTGGAGGGCAGCAACATTGACTTCAGGGAGAGAGTATTCCTATTATGGGTATAGTAGCCAACTGGACCAGAACTTGACCACAGGCACTTTTATGCTTTGAGACGTTAAAAAAAAAGATTTCTTCCTATATGTATTTGCTTTTTTCTGTCTTTGAAAGTATCCAAAGGTTTTTCCGAGTTCCCCTTCTGGGCACAATTATGGTTAGGTAGTCATACATAAAACAGCCTTTTCACAATGCCTCCACCCCACCCATTTGTTTGAATATGAGTCTCTTCTCGGAAAGGTCTACCATCTGACTTCCCCCATTTCTCTCCCTCAGCAAAGACTTTAAAAAAAATCTCTTGGATTTTTAATCTATATAGAATTGGAATATTACTTCAGCTTTATAAATTTTTATTCCTTTCAAAAAAAATGTGAGCTTTATATTGTGTTTTTACCTGCAGCATTTAATTGATTTTCTTATTGTAATTTGGTATTTAAACATTGTCTTTGTTTTTGTCTTATGAACTATGCAGAGTATCTATTATAAGTTAATTGATAAACAGTTGGTGTGCATACATATTAATCAATCAGCAATGTTTTAAAGACATCTTAGATCATTTCTTCTGCACTTGAGCAAATAATTCTATAAGAGAAAGCTAGGTTAGAAGACCAAACTACAAGGAAAAACAAAGGAAACAGAAATCATTAATGAAAGAATTGAGAAGTCAAAGAGACAATGCTCTGAAATACAGCTCAAATTACAGGCAAGAAAACTTTCCCCCTTTCCTTAAGGCCCTAATGGATTATCCCCATCAGCCTTGCATAGAAATTATTGTGGAAGAGGGGATGTCAACAATAGGGCTGTATTTATCTATAAACCATCAGCTCCAAGGTCCCTTCCAAGTCTGTTATCCTGTTAATTCTCTGGAGAAAATTATAACGCTAAGTGATAAGCAAACAGGAATGAAGAACATGCTATCCACCTTCATCTGCTAAGCACACAATTCGTCTTCTCAAAATCGTCTTTTCAACCTAAACATCCACAGTCTGAAATTCAGTCAAAGGTCACCTTGAATTTTATATATGGTTACAAAACAGACAGTTTTATCCTTCATCAAAAGTTTTGGTAAAGGAAATTATACTCTCCCCCCTCATGTTGCTCCTTACCAGCAAACGCCTTTCATTCTGCCTTTGGTCTGTTACAGTGATAGGTGGATTTCTTACTGGCCCGCTGGACAGAGTGCAGTTCCTGTGTAGAGCTGCTCAGTAGTCTGGGCAGGGACAAAGTGGGTGGAATAATACCAAAGAACAATAAAATACATAAATGTGAATGGCACATGTAGATTATTTGCAACTCATATAAAGGTGAATGAACTAAATCTATCTGTCTATCATCTATCTATCTATCTATCTATCTATCTATCTATCTATCTATCTATCTATCTATCTATCTATCTATCATCTTATTCTTTCAGTCATTCTTGACTCTTTTGAGATTGTTTGAACAAATCCTGGTAGATTTTTAGGCAATATTTTTGGAAATCCCTTGCCCTTGCCTTTTTCCTAGGGCTCAAGATCAGCCAGCTGGTTCTGTCCCTAAGGCAAGATTAGAACTCACAGTCTCCTGGTTTCTAATTGGTTCTCATTTAAAATATAATTACTCATTCAAATTAGTAAATCTACATCATAATTGTATACACATATTCCAAAGTAAATGAAGTTTTGCTGGATAAGTAATAGTTTAGCAATAAAAAGCATTTATTTAATTATTCATTTCTCCAATTCTTCAGCAAGCAAAGGCTTGCTTAATCCACTTCCACCTACTTGCTGACGTTTTCTTGCAAGTTCTCTGACCTATTCCATACAAATTCGATAACAAATAGCGTGAGATCTGTCAAAATGATATGTAGTTAGTTTATTTCTATCACATTCTCTGCAGATATACATCATCTTGAATCTTAAGATCAGGTTCTACTACACTAAACCATAGCATGTTAATTTTTGTATGAGCCATGAATTCTGGCTTAGCTGCAATAAATCTATTTGTGATTTAGTCAATAAATCCTGATTAAGCCAACAATAACTTATGCAGAAGTGTGTGTCTGCACTTTTGAGCTACCCTTGGTTCTGTGTGAGATGCTGACATGCATACTACTAAAGTAATGGGTTAAAAAAAGTAAGTTGGGGTTTTTTAAGAGCAAAATAAGCTTCTACAATGCTTGTTTTTACCCCTTACCTGCCACTGCCAACCTATCAGAAATGCTAACACACACACAAACACTGACATACAGAGAGAGAGAGAGAGAGAGAGAGAGAGAGAGAGAGAGAGAGAGAGAGAGAGAGAGAGAGAGAGAGAAACACTTCAAGGGGTTGGAAATGCAAATAAGACATTGGATGATTGCATACATCACACAGATTGCAAATTGACTTTGCCTGTTTTTCTGTACTAATGTTCAAGAACAAATACTTCTCTTTTAGTTACATAAAAATAGAAGAACAACCTGTTCAGATTAGATCCCATGTGTCCAACCTCTTCGTTTGTCTGGGTCACACTAAATGAAGAAGAATTGTCTTGAGCCACAAATAAAATATATAATATAGTTAATGTATATATACAGTGCTTTTTTGTAAAAAAAAAAAAAAAAAAGTGCCGGAACTCACACATGTCATACAAGCCCCCTTGCAAAAGTTTACCTTTGTAGTTGAAAAAAAACCCCTCAATTTTTAGTGTATCTAAAAGACTAAGATTTTGTTCAAGGTAAGTTAATACTATTAATGTTACTGTTCTGTCCCAGTCTATATGAGTCCTTGTTATGCTCACAAGGAGAAACCCCTCTTCCAAGAAACAGGCAGGAATTGCAAGAAAAAACCAACCCCTTTTATTCTCACAGACCCAAGTCAATATCCAAGGCAAACAAACACAGTCCACAAAAACTCGATCCTCAACACAAACAGTTGCCTTCAGCAACCAGCACCTCCCATACCTTCCCTTTTATAATTCAGCCAAGATGTGGCTTCCTAATGCCATCTCCTTTGCCTTTGGAGCGGCCCCATTGCATTCCTCTGTCCTACTCGCTTCTCTTGCCTGTGCTTTTATGCCTCCTGGATTTGTCCCAATTGTTCTTCATCACTGTCCAACTCAGGCTCCCAGCACAGCTGTGTTTCAGCCTGAGTGCGAGTAGAGGGGCCAGGCTCTTCGTCCGACTGTAAGTCTTGGAGCTCCTCAGAGCCTTCCTCTGACTCTAATGTCACTCCAGGCCCCTCCTCCTCATCTGATTCCTCAGACTCAGCTGCCAGATCCACTGGCTGGCGAGGAATCACAACAGTTACCATGCGCTGTGTGGCTTTAAATTAGAATATTTTATTAATCTTTTGGGACATTTAACACTGGCATACCCAATTAGTTTAATGAGTGGAAATGTCAGCTTTCTATGTGGAATGAAATTGGCCCAACAAAACAAAATTTGGTTGCTTGTAAAAGATTGAATTATTTTTAAGAAGTTATCAAACAAGGTGGAAAAATTTACATTTGGAGTTTAATATGGATATTGACTTGAAACAGATTAAAGTTGAAACTCTATCAGTGAACAGATTACTTTTAATTTACCTTTAACTTAAACCCAATTTAATAAATAGATTTGATTAAATCTCATACTGTAGGTCTACCTTTACATCTGACCAATATATAATTAATATGTATACCTCCAAATCACAAGACATTGGCTTTATTCTTATTCTTTCCCTCTGCAGCTTAAATATAAAGTATAAAAGACTAAAAAGAGATTTTCGTAGACAACCCAGCCTTTGAACTACCTAAGGAACCAAAACAGCAAAGTTTCGCTGTCGGACAAGCTTCCATGCCAGCCGCCTTTCTTTCCTCTCACTTCATCTCTTTTTAACCTCACACCCCACCTTCTGTAAGGGAAGGCAAAAGGCTCATTCACCCTCTCATGAAAGTTGGCCTCCATGTTTATGTGTCTCCCACCACCACCATCGGCTTCCCCACCACATGGTCTGACCCAGACAATCAGGCCACACTCTGGCTGTGGTGCTCCAGCGCCTCATGGCTCCTCCTAGAGGAGGCAGACAGCGTCGGAGGAGACCCTGCTTGCACCGTACCACCAGCAGGGCATTTTCAAAAGCAAATGAGAATAGGAAAGGCAACAATAGGAAAAGAATGCAACTCTGGAAAATCCGTCAAAAAAAGGTGCCGGAACCCCGTTCCTGTACGTTCTATGACAAAAAAAGCCCTGTATTTATATGTATAAAGGTTAAAAGTTTACAATCTTGTGCGGCTGTCCAGGGCCATATGCAATCCATAGGTCGAAGGTTAGATACGTCTGGACTAGACCCATTTTAATCCAGCATTTTGTTTCTCACCAAATGTCATGAGAGCAAAAGATGGAGACATATCCTTACTCACTCTTGTTCCCTTACAACTGGTGTTTGGAGTAAGCTATCTCCATCAGAAAGAGATAGGAAAAAAACCCTCTCTGCTAATTTTCTCCTTCCCTGATTTTATACACTTCAGAAACGTGCCTGTTATGTTTGGTGCTCGGTGAGGCATCGGCGAGGCAGCAGGTGAACAAACAACTCTTTATTAATGGTTTAAACAGAAGCCTGGCTAACTGCAGCTCCACCCCTATTTATATACTCAACAACTAGGTGGCAGCCAATAGGATTCAAGCATTAGTTCCCGCTTTAACACAAGATAATTAGCATGTAGAAAGCAAGTCTGGCTCTTAACTGACAGAGTCTTATGACTGTTTTTTCAACAATTCCAAGTACTTCACCTCAATACATTACAGTGCCCACTTAATTATCTTTTTTCCAAGCCAAACAGTATCAAACATTTACCCTTCTTTCATAGGGAAGATGTTCAAAGCCCCTCTGTTTTGGATTGCCCTCTCCTTCATTTTAAGCCAGTTCTTTATATCTATTTTTAAGTTTGGTGATCTGACCTGTGCACAGTATTCCAGAGGTCAATACCTCATATATTTGTTTAACAGCATTTCAATTTTGTTATAATAAGCTTTAGCTTTGAAATTAGCCTTTTTCTTCTCTATGTATAGATCCAATATCTGATTGTACAGATTGTGTTTGGCATTTGTGGAACATTCGCTCTGTTGAAAGAGACCCTTCTGATGTTTGTTTTCTGGGCAGAGTAAAGAGGAAATATGTTGGAGAGAATTTAGATTGTAAAAGCATAAGTATATATATTTGGTCACAGAAATAGTTGCTTCTGAATTTTAAAGTGAAAGGATTTTATTATGCTTAAGGTTGATATTAGTAATATTGATACATAGTGTTATCATGTAATCATTGTTTTGTTATTTTGTAATCATTATTTTATAGTTAATTGCTTGATCAGATGCTTTACATATATATTGGAAAAGTAAGGGCTTCATGCTTTAGGTATAGGTGATTGCTTATATGAAAAGAGCACAGTAAGGGGAGGGGGGAAAGCAGTTATGGATGGAGCCTGGATTGCTGTATATGAGTCATCATCTAGGAATTATTTTTTTTGTGCCATCTTATGCCTAGTACCAAGACCTGATCTTTTTGTTCTGGAAAGGTATAAAAGGTGGAAGACATCTTTTCTGGTTGTTGCCTTCATCTCTCTACCGGCCACGAGGAGAGATGGGTCACCCAACTCTATTTTGATCAAAATAAAAGTTGTTTCCTTGCTGAAACCTCGGCTCAGGAGTTTCTTTGGCTCTTTTAAATTCCTGAGTAATGCTGGGGCAATTGTGAGGCTAAGTGGAAAACCTTACAAAAGCCTTTTTAATCTCATCATACTTGAAAATGGCTTTTGTTAGTTCAGTCTCAATCGTTAACTTGATGCTGCCACAAATTTATCAAGTTTGCTTTTAATAAACTACCATAACATGCAATATAATGTTGAGTTTCATATGTAATTCATGTAGCTTTAAACTATTTAAATGTTTGTATATAATATTTATACAGTTAATAAAATTTCCTTAGAAGAAAACCCTTTAGAAAAATAATGCTTCTTTTTAAGGTGCAGAATTAAGAAAGAAAAATATTATGGAACATTAAATATTAAATTTAATTAAATATTAACAACTAATGATGTGATCTGTTTATACGTAATGTTGATTTCAGCAAAGGAGATGAACTCTCTAATTTCTTAAATGAATATGCTATCTCCAGTGTTGTTTTGACATTATCAAAAAACATTTATTAGATGTCATACTAGTAAGACATCTAATTTTCATCTATTCATCTTTTCTTCTAGGAGGTTTCCAAACTTTAGGAACAATTTTTCAGATTCTGCAATATAGGAATTCCTTTGCTTCGTTTGTTTATAGACAAAGTAGATGTCTTTCCACTCAATTTAGAAAGCACAGAACAGGAAAAAAATAAATGGAATTTATTCAGTTTTATTCATCTTGTGTTAATAAAAATGCTTTTTGTGTCAGCATCAGTTGAAGGAGATGCCTATAGAATTCATCAGACATCCCTTGACATGGCATATAAAAATCTGAGAGTGGTCACTGAGTAAGCCCTCTCTCTTATCTTTACTAAATATGCTTTTGGAAGTGGTGAAAAGAAAGAATGATAATTCCCAAAGTTCTCAAAACTTGGTTTGGTTTCTTAAGCCATTTGGCGGAGGAAAATTCCACTTAGGCTTAGGGTTAGTTCACCATGAACTCATAGAGCAAAATTGACACCGCCAACAAACTCAGAGTTCTTGGGTATGGTTAGGAGGGCACTTACTTTTCTTGGCTGCGCTATCTATATTTCCTGGTAAAATACATGGAAAAATCCCAAAGGAGGAAAATTCCACTTAGGGTTAGGGTTATGTCACCATGAACTCATAGAGCAAAATGGACACCGCCAACAAACTCGGATTGCTTGGGTATGGTTAGGAGGGCAGTTACTTTTCTAGGCTGCCCTATCTATATTTCCTGGTAAAATACATGGAAAAAACCCATGGGAGGAAAATTCCACTTAGGCTAAGGGTTAGTTCACCATGAACTCATAGAGCAAAATGGACACCACCAAAAAAACCGTAGTTCTTGGGTATGGTTAGGAAAGCACTTACTTTTCTAGGCTGCCCTATCTATGTTTCCTGGTAAAATACATGGGAAAATTCCAAAGGAGGAAAATTCAACTTAGGCTTAGGGTTAGGTCACCATGAACTCAAAGAGCAAAATGGACACCGCCAACAAACTTGGAATGCTTGGGTATGGTTAGGAGGGCACTTACATTTCTAGGCTGCCCTATCTATGTTTCCTGGTAAACTACATGGGAAAATCCCACA